ACAATTAAATAAAGGCAAAAAGTGTGCCGTGTACAAAATATATGTACTTCTTTAATGTAAATTATGTGCATTAATATGTGAATTACGTATGAGGTAGCTACACATTGATTGATTTATTTTAAGCCTTTGTCATGAGACTCTCAATATAGTAAACTTTGTCTTGTGGATACAATTTAACAGGTGGACATTAGGTGTTTGTTTATACGCCGCGTGTCTGACCCACTTTTGTTTCTACAAAGACATAATGGGCATAATGGCATGGGCAGCCGTTTGACTGTGCCCACTCAGCTATTAGAATCAAATTACAATGGCCGTGAATCTTGAACAGTTGACGAAAAATTTCTTTGATGGCAGAAGTTTATAAGTTGTATACGCTTGTCAATTCATTTTTACTTGTATAGAGAGGAGTAGGGAGAAGAGAAAAAGGAAAAATCGAAAACAAAATATTGAAAACATGTTGTCTTTAAACACTTCAAAAGTTTTGACTTTGACGACCTCGGTGGCACACGATTGGCACGGTGTACCAGGAGACACCCGGTATCGATTCCCGGTACGACCTGTCTGGAAAATAATTACTTCTAAATTGGTTTTGGTTTGGTTTTTTTCTATGATACTAAGTGACAGGACGAAAAGTTCACGCGCCTATGTGATAGGCGACATATGTGACGCCTGTCCATAACTATTGCAGTGACGCTTATCGCTTTTAACCGCAAAGATCTGAGAGAAGCACTGCCACTACGCCCATCACCCTGAAACATAAGTTGTAAAGTGCCATGTCGTCCTTCAAAACCAAAACGCAGTATTGCTCACATGACAGCATGACGGCGGGACATAGGAACGGTGGCAGTAATTCCCTGGACGAACTCTTTCACAAGAAGCTCTACTACTACTCAAAGTAAAAGGTAGTGCCCCGGAGTGAATTTCGTTGCTCATTTGAGACTATTAATAGTAAAAATTGTTGACTGTATCACAGATTATTTAAAACAGTTACTATGTAAACTGTACTACTATTTAATTAACGCGCCTGTTGCTTATATTTTAGCCAATAGTTTGATAAGCAATATAAGTTTTGCTCAGTAAATAAGAGCAGGCGCTATCGTACCATCAATAATTATTTCCGAGACTTTTGAAGATATAACGGACACTAATGTTGCATAAGCAACAAAAAGTTCATTGGCATGTGAATTTCATAATCATGAAGCATTTGATTGGTTATTCATTGTGTTAAGGTTAAAGTGTCCTTAACTTAATATTCGAAATAAACACACAGGCACGTTTATTGGAGCACTAGTAAAATCTCCAAAGTTTTAATTTCTTACCAGTATGGGTTCGTCGATTGGTAAGAGATTGACTTTGCGATTTTAGAAATTTCGTAAACATTACTTGAAAAAGTTTTTTTTTCATTGACTAAAGTTTGTTTAATCAATGTTAAATTTGTTACAATTTTAGCTATTTTAGCGTTGTCAAAAAATCTATAAAAATGGATTTCATTCTATCGATTTTTTTCAATAAAATTTGAGTATGTTTAAATTTCATTGCTACTCTATGTGTAATTCTTACTTATTAAAAAATAAGCGTTATTATTTTATTTTACCTCTCTTTTTGTTCCACTAAGTATGCCGCTGTGTGTGTTTTCGGTAGATAGAAACGTTGCATGTATCTGATGAATTCGCATGCCTCTTGGTTTAAATATTGAAGTTCGATTGGTAAGGAAATACTAATTCTCCAACGAAAACTGAAAGAAAAATCTTTTTTTTTATGATACCAAATGACGGGATTAACAAGTGTGCGCCTGATGGTAAGACGTAAGTTGACAAGTCCCATGTGCCTGTAATTTCACCAGCATCCCTATCCTTCAAAATCAGAACGCAGTAATGCTCATACTACCGCTTGGCGGCTGAAATAGGTGGGGTTGTATTTTTTCGTTGTACGTACTCTTACACAGGGAGCTCTACTACTGCTACATACATATGCGATTCGTAATATATAACAACAAATGACATATTTTTTGTCGATATAACGCTCAACAGATATAATTAATTTATGGTATACGGTCATTTCTCATATTCTTGCATGATATAAAGGTCACTGGGTGTAATAGACGATTGACATAACAACTTTCAATCTAATTTACCGATGGCATATTGTTCATTTTATATAAACACTTCAGATATAACATTCACTGAGTATAATGTTGAATGTGTATGTGTGAAAAAAAAAATATAATTCCAGTGGTGTTTAGGTGCAACGGTGAATGAACCGAAATTGTTTGCATTTCCTAGTTGGCTCGATCTCCTCCTGTGAGTTTAGGTTAGGTTAGTATATAACAAAGCTGCCAGAACCGAATTTGTTTGCATTTGCTAGTTGGTTCGACCTCCTTCTGTGGGTTTAGGTTAGGTTAGTATATAACAAAGCTGCCAGAATCGAATTTGTTTGCATTTGCTAGTTGGTTCGACCTCCTTCTATGGGCTTAGGTCAGGTTAGTAAATGACAAAGCTGCCAGAATGAAATTTGTTTGCATTTGCTAGTTGGTTCGACTTCCTCCTGTGGGTTTAGGTTAGGTTAGTATATAACAAAGCTGCCCGAACCGAATTTGTTTGCATTTACTAGTTGGTTCGACCTCCTCCTGTGGGTTTAGGTTAGGTTAGTATATAACAAAGCTGCCAGAATCGAATTTGTTTGCATTTGCTAGTTGGTTCTACCTCCTTCTGTGGGTTTAGGTTAGGTTAGTATATGACAAAGCTGCCAGAATGAAATTTGTTTGCATTTGCTAGTTGGTTCGACCTCCTCCTGTGGGTTTAGGTTAGGTTAGTATATGACAAAGGTGCCAGAATCGAATTTGTTTGCATTTGTTAGTTGGTTCGTCCTCCTCCTGTGGGGTTAGCTTAGGTTAATAATGCCATTAAATGTTCTGCTTAAAGTATTAATAAATATATTTTTTTTCACAAAAAGCACAAAAAGCTATACAAAAACAATTATATTTTGCGATTGCACATTTAATGGAATAAAAAAAATTCTTATCAACATTATGTACGGCGCTTCAACTATTCGTAAAATGAAATATTGTGTTATATTATGTAATACTTTGTACTGGTAGTACTTATACCATTTGTTCATTATGTCACTTAATCATTATATCGAATGTTTGTTATACTGAAGGTTCATTATACACATTGAAATTATGTCTTTTGTTGTTATATACAGTGAGTAATTATATCCTTAGAAATTATATCAAATGTTATTATACCAAGTAAAAATAGATCATTTGTTGTTATATCTTCCATAACATACCCGCTACAGTGTACATAATAATAATTAAAAAGAAGGATCTTGGTCAGAATCAAATAATAAAAAGTCTAGGAAAAGAAACTATTTTTCCGGATTTAAATCGCGTCCCTTTTTTTTTAACAAACAAACCGACGTTTCGGGCCAAATACAAATATAAGCGATTTAAATCCGGGAAAATAGCTTCTTTTCCTATGTGTAACAATCGCGAAAACCTAAGAACTGAATAAAAAAATCTATTTTAAAAAGTTAGTAAACCGAGTGTAAACATACATCTGACACTCGAATGGCTGTTATTACATTTAATATCATTAAAAGATGTGATATATTCGAAGATAATTTTTTAATTGAGAATATTTCATAACCTAAAAAAAAAAGCGAGTGAAAATGACAAGCACATGACAATAGTCTATGTTTCTTCCATATGTACTTGTATATAAACAAGCATGCTACGAAATCTACGCTATAATCTGCGAAGCCTAGGGACATAGGAATTAAAGTCAAGAGTGGTCATGCGGAATGGTAAATCTAGAGATAGCATGCCTATATAAATGGTAGCATGCCTTGGGCATCCAGAGGGTATTTTAACGTTTTTAGCAAGTAACTGTGGACTATCTGAGCGCTACCAAAAATTGTATACATAAATATTAAATCCACTCCTAAAGGTATTATGACAATAAGTAGATACTAGGTACTTTGTGATTTTCAGAAACTATATTTATTCTGTGGTTTCCTATTTTGGTTTATAATTTGCAAGCAGTAGAGCTCCTTGTGAAAGAGTTAATTCAGGGAAGTACTTCCACTTTACCTATTTCTGCCGCCAAGCAGTAATGTGAACGTTACTGCATTCCGGTTTGGAAGGGTAAGGTGCTGGTGAAATTACAAGCACATGAGACTTGGTAACTTATGTCTCAGGGTAACGGGCGCAGTGGCAGTGCCCGTTAGATCTTTGAGAATTAAAGCTCTGAATGGCACTGCAACTGTTATGGATAAGCGTGTCGCTTACCACCAGGCGCACGACTTGTTCGTCCCGCCACTTAGTATCATAAAAAAATCTATAAATTAATTTTTGTTTATTCCAATAGCAATATAAAGTGCAAGTTTGCAAGTACAAATTTATAGATTTTTTTTATGATAGTAAGTGGCGGGACGAACAAGTCGTGCGCCTGGTGGAAAGCAAATAAATATAATAATATGAGTAAATATCTAACATAAACTTAAATGTGTAATTATTATTAATTACAATAAAATTAAAAGTATCAAAAGTAATTTTTTAGTTTCTTGAATATCTCAATGTTTGACCACTATGATATTCAATTATTTTTGTGAAATTACTCCACTAGTTTGTTATAATTATTAATAAAAAGATCGAACATAAACAAAAAATCCTTCGATCCGGTTGGATTCGCACCAATAATCCGTGGCTTAATTGGCACCTCGTCTGGCACGGTTTGCTGGAAAACGTTGTTTCGAATCCAGCCGGATCTTAGAAATTTTTTCTTAATGTTCATTATATTATATTTGCATTGTATAGTCTTAGTTAACGGTCAAATCTTATTCTCATATAATATTCTGGTAAATCTATACCTATTTATATCTTATCAGAATTAATGTGGCCTAATTCCAGTGCTTTATTATTTGAATAGAATTTAATATACTATAATTAGTATTTAGTTGCAATGTATTTATTACTCACCTGCACATAATTGTTACAGAGGGTAATACTTTTCTTGGGCATCATAGCGATAGCAACATCGGCGCCACAGCCGCAGCAAAAGTCTGAGAAAGTCATAGAGATCATCAAGCAGGATTTTGATCAGCAGGTCGATGGGTCTTACAGATACAGGTGATTACCACATTCCTATAAATATAATATCATGAATAAAAATAAGTTCCAAATATTATACAAATGGCATAAATATACATGACACAAACGGTCACCGAGGTCGAGGATTCCAACGTCACTTTCCATATTAGATAACAAGAGAATTGTATCAAAGCAACTCTTTTGTCATTGAAATCTTGAGTATGGGGACATTTTTTCGAGATTCTTCTTAGCTCATAACACTAGGGTATACACACTTATATTTCGCTTTATGTCGAATCATAAAGTCTTACGACCTTAACTACTTAGGTATTATATTTATGTGTTTAATTTGGTCGCTATTAGTGTTGTAATTTGAAGTACAGGAAAGCAAACGATGTACCATTGCTTCATAACTCGACTAGAAAGCCAATATGAGTTTTTATTTTAGATTTTAGCTTTTCATTACGAGCCACGTAACCACAGGATTACACATTATTGTTTGATTGTTTGACGCTTACGTGACAATCGTACTCCACGCTGATAGTAACCTGACTTAACAATATGTCTTTAACATTACAGCTTCGAGACAGAAAACGGTATAAAAGCTGAGGAGACTGGAACGCTGAAAAAGGCTAGTGGACCTGATGCGACTGACGTCATCGTAGCACAGGGAGGGTTCAGTTACACCGCACCTGACGGCACTGTGATCAACCTTAACTATATTGCTGATGATGAAAATGGTTTCAGACCTGAGGTTAGTTCTTTAATTTACTATGACAGTCTTTTTTGTAAGTTTTTGAAGTTAAGTGGTTTTGTTCATGAATGCCTATCAATAACCTCTTTTTTTAAATCATACGAAATAAACTGTACAGGATGTTATGTAAGGTCTTTTTTGGTAGATGATTCACAGATATATTATTTCCAGACACTCTTGTGTCATTCTTTTGCGAGTATTGGTGTCGCCTTGCGTGCAAGTCATAATAAGAGCCCAAGGTGGGTCATGTCGTACGTACCTAACAATGAAATGTTATACAAACCGATACAATAATAATAAATATTTAGTTCCATTCGTCGTATATTATAATTTTTTAAGGGAACTATGTTGAGTACTTTTATATCCAACTGTACATCGTATGTATATCACTTTGCCAGCTACTACGGGTCTTTTTCTAAGAAAAAGAAAAATAAGGAAAAATTTAGGTTGTAAGAGCTCGTCCAGTGTGGTATATTGCCAATAAAATATTAGCTGTTTTATCTTGGATGAATAGATTACAGCATTTTTTTGCAATAGCTGATTTTGAAGTTTTACAGGGATCGCCACAGTAAAACTTGTTCATATTGAGAAACACTGTTCTAACCTCGTTGATTAATTGAAGTAATCAACACTAGGCATAAAGCAATATAAACAGAATATGTATTATAAAATTTTAATACTGGTTTGAAGAACACAATTTACACACACATTTTGACTACTGTTTAACCACTACAAAGCTTAAGTATAATTATTTAGCTTATGGTTGATACGGTTTCGGTAATTCAGCAGCGGCTTTCTATTGGTCACTGTTTCGGCAATTGTTGGGATATGTATCCGGGCGTGTTTCTGGACGTCACAGTTGCCAACTGAACACACACACATAAATATCTGGTTCGATCTATCTATCCATTTACTCAGTAACAGAGTACATTGAAAGTACTATTTAAGCAATTAAATTATTATATATTATATTAATGAATTTGACATTCACCGTATTATTATACTTTCATTTACATTTATTAGTTAAGAATCCATATTGACATTTCCTGTATACAGTACCTACACTTGACATTGTTAGTTTAATTCGATTATTTATTAGTTCATTATATATCTTGATTTGTATATGTACACTATTGTGTACTACGGCTTACAATTATATGTAATTAATTATTTCTCATTGTTTTGTAAACTGACGATCACTTTTCGAAGAGTTGTATAAAATGACATGTAATTGTATTTGTATGAAATTTGTAATGTTGAGAGAAATAAACTAACTAAACTACACTACGCGGGTTAGAGTTTTCACGTGTCATGAAACCTTCTCTAATATGTAGATTTCATCACGATATTTTCATTCAACGGTAACACAAGCAATAATTTAGCAAAAGAAACTACAGGCGAATCCAAAATATTCTGCGGTGGTAATCTGACAACTTTGATGGTTCTACGGTTTGCACGGTGGGCACTGGATGAGGAGATCCCGGGTTTCATTCCCGATAGGACCAATTTGGGAAATGACGTTTCTAAATTGGTTCTGGTCTGGGTGTTCTGACAAGTGCACCAGAGTGAGTTCCTTTGCTCTGGTACTCATAGAATAAGGAATTCCCCAGCTTGAGACCAGGCAATTTGCGTGGCTGTCTGGCACATTATTACATTATTATTCAATCACAGAACCTCTTACATAAAATGCAAGCGTTCTTATAACTAAGCTATCTTTGTGTGAATATAGAGAACATTATATTTTGTGAGAAAAATAGTGGTGATCAGATTCAGTCAGTAAAATTCTAATAGGAAGGTTTATTTCCTCGTTCCATGTTATGATATACTTAAATCAAATATTTTGATTTGTTTAGAAAAAAGATGCACCTAATTTTGGTGGTTACTTTGTGTTACTTACTTTTCGCTGAAACTGACTTCAATCTATAATTACAAGAAAATATTCTAGGAAAATTTAATTCAAAGTGAAAAATAGTGACGTAATTTAGGTCATTTATCATGCTCGTTACTAGGTCATTGGTATCATATAAAGCGTCGAATTACTAAGATAAATACTCTATAAGCTATTTACATAGCTAATAAAGAATACCATTCACATGTGACATTAGTGAACCAAAACGCATAGACCTTACGTAAGTTTACGAAAATATAAAGCGGAAAATTAGCGTCGGTAAAAACATTATTATTCTAAAAAAACATTTTTATGCAAATTTACTTTAAATAAACATTAGATCAACAGGGATGTCAAAGGTTGCATCCAAAAATGTCAGAAGTTGTTAAAAGGCTAGGCATAACAATTTAAGTGGGGATTTAAAATGTAAAGTACATTGATTTAAGTGCGTCCTCAGAAGCGTGAACCAGTCGCAATAAATTTGTCACGCGTTGAAGTAACAATCGGTATTTTCATAGAAACTTGCTTCCTGATTGGTTCTTACAACCAAATCAAATTATGAGGGATACTTTTGAGATAGGTCTCTTCTCATCAATACATGTATGAATTAGTTATAACGCACACACTCAACATAACCCCGCACTAAGGAAATCCTGTGCTGCGGGTGCCATGGATACACACATAGACAACCACAAATTACACACATACTCACGAGAGAAATAAATGTAGGCCATACAAATATTTCGCCCGGCCCGGGAATCGAACCTAGGACCTCTGCGTAACAGTCAACTCATAGTCAATGGCAACGGAAGCAGTTAAAGTTATAGAATACTTCGATATTTATTTCAGTCAAGTGCGATTCATTCTGAATTTCTATTTTCTTTTCTAGGGTGCTCATCTGCCGACTCCACCTCCAATACCACCTGCGATTCAAAAAGCTTTGGACTTTCTAGCAACACTGCCGCCACAAAGAAATAAGTAGAACAATATATCGTGAAAACACTCCAACGGATATTCTGATGAATTACGACCACTATTGTATTCCTTGAATGACGGCAGCTAAGTACACCGTTGGTAATAGCTTTGGTATAAATTGGTTGATTTGTATTAAAATTATTTCTAGTATTTAAATTATCAGCCCAAAGAGGCTTGGTTACCAACAGCTGTACTTACATATATTTTAGAATAAAGCAAAAAAAAAACATATAAAAATGAATGTACTCGCAAACCGACTGATCTGTGATAATGAGAATTAAATATGAGGAAACGATATATGTACTATATATTATTATTAAACAGCATAATCAGTGCCAAAGAAGCATTGCAAAATCATGTCGTTAATTTTTTTTTTCTATATAAAAATAATCCCATCTTTTCATTATTTTTAATATCACCTAAAATGATGTTTTTCATGTTATTTAAATTCAGTACCGTACTGTCGCAGTCAGTAGGGTCTCGCGGGAGCTATAAAGTTGTTTCAGGTGTGGAAGTGGAAGAAGTTATATGATGGGGGTATAGTTATAATAACCATCGCAAATAGCAGTATCAATCTGAAATAGAAGCTTACACAACGTCGTAGTAGGTATAATAATTAGCGCCCAAATGTACAAGCTCCGGCCAACACCCGCGTGCTAAAACGTTGATGTCACTTCCTACAAACGGTGTAGTATTAATTCAAAAACAATGGTCAAATTTGTCACGTATGTATGAATACATCGTGTGGAAAAGTAAGAGAAACAGAAGGACTTTGGAAGGTCAATAAATACTATTGTTTTACTTAGTCTATCGACAAGTTTAAATTTGAACCTATGAACGGGTTTTCTGTATTCTTTTTCTATTGAAAGAAAGTAGGTAACCTTACGGAAATTGTCACTGAACTAAACGTTTTACGACGTGTAGAAAAACATCGACTAGCTTTATATATTTTGATTCAAACCTGCTTAGATTTTTGATAGAATTGGTTCGCGCATAACTCATTCTATAAGAGAATTTTTTTTTTAATATTACTTAAGTGACTAGACGAACATGTAGTCCGATATCCCTCCGAAACAACTCGACCAAACTCGACTTGTCAACTAAGACAAGTTGACAAGTCTCATGTGCTTTATTTCACCAGCACTCTTATGTCCTTCGAAACCGGAACGCAGTAATGCTCATATTACTGCTTGGCAGCAGAAATAGGTAAGGTGGCAGTACTTCCCTAGACGAACTCTTTCACAAGGAACTCTACTGGTACAATGAATCTCCAGTTACGCCTATTATTAAATAATATTATTATTATATAATATTATGTGCGCATTAGGCTTGTGGTTAAAACAAATACAATCCATCTACGATTACTAAGTATACAACAACGTGATCAATAGAAAAAGGAAAATTATACGTTGACGAGCATGACAATGAAATTTATATTTTTACGAAAATGTTTTGAGCAAGCCTTCAGAAGGCAAAAGCGGTCGCAGGCGTAAGTACCCTCCGACATTCCTCATACAACCTGTTTAAAGTGAGCGTCTTCACAAGGTCATCGTCGATGAAATCATTATTAGTGACGTAGTAAATTTATCGAATTCTGGACTCAAAAACTTGCTATATAAATACTAATGAAAATAATCCAGGTAGTATTGAACCTTTCTACGATAATGGCAAAGCAAATGTACAAAAACAGAAGTAGTTTTACATAGGAAATGAAACTATTTTTTACGAATTTAAATCGCGTATATTTGTTATTTCAAACAAACTAACGTACGGGCCCTTTACTGGTTCCATGGAAACCAAAAAATCCGGAAAAATAGTTTTATATCCTATGTTTAACAATCGCCAAAACCTAAAAACTCGATAGAAGCAGTTTTATAAATATAGCACAAACCTAAAACAGACAATCAATGTTGTGAACCTAAATTAATACAAAAGCTTTAACAGGTAAATCTGTACCTCCAGTGTAAATGGGTTAAACTCAAAAAATGCTATTTTACATGAGAGCGAAAACTCGTTTTGAATCAGATTTTTTCCCACTCATTCACAAAAAAAAAAGTATTTTTTCAAATCTTTTCAGATAGAATAAAGTGTAAGTAATAAGTTGATTGTAAAATGAACCTGTATTTTGCAAAAATGACAGAGATATTGGCTTACATAAAATGTTTATAACCCCTTATACAAAAAAATGGAAATGTATAAAATGGTTAAAGTAGAGTTTATCTAAAGAAATCAAAAAGTTATCAAAAAGTGGTCAAAGTAAAATAGTACCGCTTTACATAAATTCACGCTCTTAACATTGTTTGCGGGTATCAATAAAACATAAGTTTTACCGCTTTACACAATATTAGGCCGGCATTATAAAACAAAATATGTATAGTTTCATCTCTTTACACCAACACTCGTACGACATTTAATTTGTTCATACAGGTAAAAGTAGAGATTAACCATAATTAAAACATACGATTTGCGAATGTCGCTATTGCTTGTGAGATAAATTAAAAATAAACCATTTTGAACAAATTACTTGCAAATTTTTGCTAACATTAATCCCTTTGCACAATCGTTATCTCCGCAGCCAATGATCGCATAACCACAAGTGTAAAAAACGAAAAACACGCAATTGTATCAAAATCCACATTTTCGATAAATTCGAGTTTAACCATTTTACAATGGAGGTACAGAAATATAATGGTGACTCATCGGATACAACATACGATTTCGCTAATAATCATGTTTTAAATCGTATGTATAAGCAAGCTTTAATCTAAAAATAAGCTTACATGCAAGTAGCTTTGACATCATTGTTATTATTATTTCATTATTGGCGGACAACATTGTTCAAACGCTTGATGTCTACAGAAATATTGGATATTGTTTTTTTAATATCTCTTTGCTGATGAAAAGATAAAGGCATAAAACCATACAGCCAAGTCATTGGTTCAAAAAATGTAAAACACAAATATCAGACAAAATTTGTAACCTAACAAAAGTACCTATATCTTATTTCAGTGTTTTTTTTAATAAATTTGAGACTTTTACGGTCTTATTACTAATTTGAAATATATTAACACAATAAAGATGAGTATTAAAATGCCATTAATGAATTTCCACATATATTTGTCAAAATATCTTTTCCACATTATTGCCCACAAGATTTAAAAGTGATTTCTAGTCATAATATTAATACCCCTGAAGTCATTTGAAAAGAAATTGCTGTTTTATTTAGTAGTTGCTTCGTCATGATGCATATGATAAATTTGGTCAAGATGTTTGTGCCTCTGTAACGGGCTGTGGAGTGGTCTTAGTGGCAAGGTAGCGAAGCGCACGTGCAATAGCCGGCGGAATGGGAGGTGACGTGGGAAGATGCTCTCCTACCGGCCGGTAACCATTCTCGTCCGCCGTGTACGATAAACTGAAGTCATTGCCTTCTTTATCCTGAAAAATATCAAACAAGTTTCCAAATTGCTTGATTGCAAAGAAATGTCAATTGACAAGACCCTTTTGATGAAGTGTCAACATAAATAAACATAAGCTTACACATACAAGAGTTATACAAATTCTTGAATAAATTCTAAAAATATAACCTCACGGATAAACAACGTTTTCCATTACTGCATATTTTTACTCACTTTATATGAGAAACTCCCGACAACAGCTTCACCAGTCTTATCGTCGTCAAATGTTTTTAATTCTCCTTTACTGAAAGCTTTCGTGCCGTCTCCTCCTTCGTAACTGAAATATAAGTATCCCGTTTCATAATGATGTAATTTTTTCAAGTACATAGGTAATAAAGTTATTTTTCAGTATTACCTGTAACTAAATTCACCAGTTTGTGAATAGATTTCGTTCTTTGAGTTGATGATAGGAACAACAGGGTCACGTTCTCGTCTTTTTTTCCCACCTTTGGTACTGTTCTTATTCGTCGTTTCAACCGTTTCTCCGGTTGTTCTTGATTTCAATTCTTTTTGAGAACTTTCTGTCTTTTGCTCGTTTTGTGGAACGATAGTCATATTCTGCTTTTGGGGAGTGACAGATACTTTTTCCATTTTTGATAGAAAAGAGGTTTGCTTCTTACTTTGCAGTACTTCTTCATTATTTTCTTGAGGCTTAGGTTTGTGAGAAATTGTAGTGTCAACTTTATCTTCATTGAAACTCGAGGCTCTCAATATGAATCCTTTTTGTTGTTGACTTTCTTTTTCTTTATCTGTTTCTGTTCTTTGCGTAAAGGTTTTTGGTACTTGTGTCTTAGGACTTGTAGCAAAAATTTGATCATTATTGTTCTTGACCGGGTCCTTATCTGTGTCGTAAACAATTACTACTGGAATATGAATTTCCTTTGTAGAGTACTGAGACAATAATTTTATGTTTTTGTCGATCTTAGGACTTAAGCGTGTATGGTCTGCAAGCTTTTCATTCGTAGTATCTGTTTTATTGTTTGTGTTCTTCATGTTTTCATGACCTTCCGAGAAATTATCACTTGCAGATTTACTTGCGACTTCGCCTGCATTTGTATCTTTATGATCCTTGTAAGTATTTGCAGATATATTAATGAAAATATCATCAGTGTCCTCCATTGTAGTAATTTCTATCTTCGTGTCATTATTCATTATTTTTGTGTTCTTTGCGTCTATATTACTTTTAAGTTTGCTTGTAATATCTACCACTTCATCTTTAACATTTCTCGAGAATGGAACAGAAATATTGTAAATATTCTTCAGATTTGGATCTATTACAATACTTTTGGTTTTACCTGTTCTTGTAGGCTCGTTTTTTGAAGATTTTTCCTCATGTATGTCTTTGTCTTCGTATACTACTGCTACTGGTATAGCGGCGTAAATCTCATCTACTGGCTGATTATATTTATAGTGGTGTCTTGGAGCTCTTTCAATATCTACTCTGTCCCATGCTTTGTCACTAGTTACACTTCGAAGAACGAAGCTTATAAATATTGTAATTATAATTATATTCCCAATCATAATGTCTAGTAACACTTATATTTTCACTCTACAACAAATCACTTACGCGTTTGGTAGCGTAATGATGACCATTTAACAAACTAACCTGCGATCTATACCTACGCTAATAAAAAATACTAGCCAAACGAGATTTTAATGAATATATATTTTATATTATAAGTTTTATAAATATTAAGGTCTGACTTGGATGAATAACAATATTATTGATTACGCGGTTAAAACAAAAGATCGAGTGGAGGTCGTATTATTACCAGCAACTACAATATTATACTTACATATTTCAGAAGAACTCATTATTGAAGTGCTCGTCCGGGAAGTACTGCCATATCTATTTATACCACCAAGCAGGCATTACTGCGTTCTGGTTTTGAAGGGTAAACGTGCTAGTGAAACTACAGGCACATAAGACTTGTCATCTTTATGTCTTAGGGTGACGGGTGCAATGGTAATGCTCTTCAGATCTTTGCGATTTAGAGCCTCTGAGAGACACTGCTGGTAATAGTACCACCCACTCATACCCAAAGGGAACCCATAGGGGTTGCCGTGTCACTTACTACCAGTCGAACAATTTCTTCATTCCGTCACTTGATATCATAAAAAAACAGCTGAGACGAGTTTATAGATATCAGAAACGTCGATTGCTGACGTAAGCCGTAAACACGCTTTACTTGCAGTATGAGGAAGTAAGTATTGGACATTGTTCAATAACTATATTAATTAGTAAATTGTTCGTAACTTTAATTAATTTTAAACTCATGTTTTACGCTTATAGCGCAGGCAGCTATACACACATACATATACATATAAACAGTAGTGGTCATAGAAATAAGAACGATTAATGACACAAAGCCATTATTATTTTGCAATAACCATTAAGTGTAGAATGAATTTATGTATATTCTTTAATGGTGTCAAACAATATTATCTGGACTGTGGACTGACCTATTTTATTTAACGTAATAATCTTGTCTACATAATGGTACCTATATATATTTTTTTACTAAATCAAAATCTTAGTTACTTCACGGAACACTGGTTGGACAAATAATTAAGGACTAAAACTAAAATATAATATTCTTCTTTACTGTTTTGAGAATGGAATGCGATAATTCTTCAATTATTATTTTTATGTCCTTTGCGCGGTATTATTGGTTTAAAAACGTTTTGTGCGATTATTGATAGACAATAAAGGACTATCCACACACATCAGGGCCGTGCCCGGGACGTGGACGGGGCGTGCTAGTTTGTATGAACTGTGGGCCCATCCCGGCGATGGCCTGGACACGGATATGTGTGAACAAGTTCATACAAAATATACGCAACGATATTTTTTTAAACCCCTGACGGAGCACGATCCGTCCACTGCCCGGGCACGTCCCGGATATGTGTGGTTAGACCTTAATGGGAAAAAATAAATCTTGTGACTCTGCTACAAGAGAAGTTATAATAAACCTGCGTGGTCGTAAGTGGTCATAACAGAAAATTGCAGATCATTTGCATTGATCAAAAACGAAGGTGTATCAGGCCGTGAAACATTTTAAAACACAACAGATAACTTTGTATATTCCCCGTAAACCTAAAGCAAGAAAAACGTCTCCACGAGAATATTCAAGAATAGTTAAACTCGCTAGACAGGATCCATTCAAAAGCTCAAATCAAATAAAAAACGAAGTTTTTGGTGAGAATATTCCTCGTACAGTCTCTGCGCGCACCACCCGAAGACGCTTGGTGGAGGCACACTTATATGGAAGAGTAACAAGACACGTGCTCTTGTTGACACCACGACCTAGACAGGCCAGACTTGTGTTTGCAAAGAAGTGTGAAAACTGGACAGAGATGCAGTGGAAGTATGTACTTTTCTCGGATGAAACTAAAATGAACAGACTATGCTCTGATGGCAAGCAGTACGTACGGCGACCTAAGATATGGCATTTAATCCAAAATATACGAAAAAGACGGTCAAGCACGGTGGTGGAAACATTTAGATTTGGGGTTGCTTTTCTAGTTATGGCGTAGGACCTACTAGACTGACAAGGTAATATGGACCAGTACCAATACAAACACATCATTGAAGAATGTATGCTACCGTACGCTGATGATAATCCCCCGGTAATTTGAACATTCCAGGATGACAATGACCCGAAACATACAGCCTACTCTTTTCGAAGATTCCTCAACAGCCAACTGGTAACTGTGTTGGACTGACCACCAAACATCCCAGGTCTTAATCCAATAGAGCATCTTTGGTGTCAAGTCAAAAAGGAATTTGCAAACAGACGGTGTAGTAACGTGAACGAGTTGTACGATGCGTTTTTAGGAGAGTGGAACCCTTTTTCACTTGAAAACTGCAGAGTCGCAGCTGCGCCGCTGCCATACCGTTATCCACCGTCGAGGACAGGCTACTAAATATTACATTTCTTTTTTATTTATCATTATATTATTAAGAAAACGTTGTTATGTTGTTAAACATACCACTACTCAAATTATTGAAATATTGTGAATACTACTGTCAAGTCCCTACCTCGTTCTTAATTGTTTGTCCAGCCTTCATCCTATTTCAGTTTAAATAAAATTGAAATGATTCTAATTTTAACAGTATTTTTAACATTGATTATTATTAAGATTTTAAGATTTTGTTAGCCCTGAATGTGTACTAGCTAAATAGTGTGATTTTTCTGCTAGCACTATAGTATTTTTTGTCCAGGAAGGGTTATTATGTTTATTATGAACACTTGTATATCGAAATGGTGCCGTATTATGAAGCGTTCTTAATTCTATGACCACCACTGTATATATAACAAAACGATATAATAACGAACGCACTCATACTTGTATCAAATACGTAACTTTTGCGCTGCAGATAGCTCAAGTGGTAAATAGCAAACTTTGCACAGTAATAGTACAGGCTGGTATTTTAATCATGTCGCGTCACATTATCATGTCTCATTGTTGACACCTTTACGGTTGTGAAATTTTTCTGAAGAACACCTCAGTCAAGCGCTAAGGTTGAAGTATTTAGCATCCGCTAAGGTTCGCTCCACTGGAAGGCGGGGGCGGGGGGTAGTGTAAATAGATGACACTTACATATAGGTGGTAAAGAGGTCTGGAGTGCCATTCATCAGTGGATTTCGGGAGTGTGTACAAATTAGGCAGATATGCATTACATAGTGGTTAGCTTGTTCTTTTGGGCAGGGCGTGTGATGGCTGCGCCTGCAAATACGGACGTGGTGCCTTTAGAAAAGCAACAACCTACGGTCATACCCATAGTTTCACAATCTGATGAATTGGAGTCAAATGGAACTTATAAATTCAGGTAAATAAATTTCTTTGTAATTTAAAAAAGTCAATGAAACAAAGTTTTTGTTCTGTTCGATTTATTTTTATACCAGACAAATTACCTTTGTTGACATTGTCGTAATAAATTCTATACACGATAATTTTACAGATTAAGTACTATTTTTTTAAATAGTATGGAGGGCATCCAATTTCTTAAAATCTTTTTTATTATTATTATTTTTCATTATTTTTCATTATTTTAATAAATGTCTTAACATTTATTATGACGAAAATATTGTGTAACTATAACAATATAATTATGTCTTGTTGGTTATAAAAGCTGTCATTTTGTCACCAATACACGAAAATTAAACAATAAAGCAATACAAATTTATTTGGTAGTAATTAAGAAGTACTACCAATTCCTACTTTTCCATTCGTGGTTTTATGGTAGGCAATCACAATGAGGAAATAAATATTTTCAGTTACGAGACTGCGAACGGTATCAAACGCGAAGAAACGTCTTATAACAAAGTTTTACCAAAAGGGCGGTCAGCGGACAGCAACGAGGGAGGAGAAAATAACGAGAGCGACGAGATTCATGTTCAAATTGGGTCATACTCTTACACTGCCCCTGATGGCACTCTCATCAGCGTTAGGTAAACGAAATACTATGAATTAAATACACTTATGCTTGTAAGAGCAAGGGTCTATTAACTAACAGTTTTGTAGGACGGTGGACAATTGCCACTTTGTAAAATTGGTATCCACACTTGACTGAAAAAATTCACATTTGTTGCGAATTATCAAAACTTATTTTTATTAATGAAAAATAGACGCACGTCTGACCAGAATTTTTTTGTCATCGCTTTTCAGTGTTATTTTGAAGTGAATCAAACGAAGTTAAATTACTGTTTATAATAACAATTTGATACAGGTACATAGCCGATGAAAATGGATTTCAACCTATTGGTGATCACATTCCTCGTGTACCAGGCTTGAGTACTTCAAGCTCAACAGAAGAAAAGTCAGGGCGTGCCTTGAATATTGCGGATAACGCTGGATCTGGTTCCGCACCCGCTTCAAAGTCAGCACAAAAATCTGAAGCACCTGAAGAGCACCCTGGATCAGAAGGTTCTGGTGACCAAAAATCGACACCCGTTTCTGTCGACGCGAGATCTGCTAAATCAACAGCTGAGGCTAAAGCCTCTGAATCGGCGGCGAAAGCATCAACGACTGAGGAGGCTAAATCGACAGAAGCAGTTGCTGGTGCATCAACAACGGAAGCTGTAGAAGTCACTGAAGCGGCTAAGACAACAGAAACTTCCGACGTATCAACAATAGAAGCAACCAAAACAACTGAAGCAGCTGATGCAAGCACTACCGACGTGGCTAAAACAGCTGAAGGTAACGATGCATCAACGACAGAAGCTGCTAAAGTCACAACAGAAGCAGAAGCAAGCACTACTGAAGCGGTTCAGACAACTGAAGCTATTAAAACTACAGAAGAGGCCGAAGCAAACATGGAAGGTGCTAATGTATCAACGACAGAAGCATCGAGAGCTGCTGCAGCCACCGTATAATACAACATTTTATATAAATCAATTAGTAATAAAAGTTAACTGCCATTGTAGTCATAGATTTCTATGAGCCCTCCTACATTCGTAAAATTTGCGCCATATTAACTTTAGTTATAAACTTATCACGGGCAAAATATATCACGAAAGTTATGTATGTAATGTAGATATCTGGTACGGGTTCACCTATTTAATCCTGTATAAAAATGTAAATAGTTTTGTTTTTGCATTGTGTATCTTTTAAACATTTAATGAAAGATGAAGTTTTTGTAAATATTCGTAAGTTTTTATTTATGTTAATAAAGTACAATCTCTCTATTAATCCACATTATTATTGGAAACTACGTAACTAAAACGACGGGCAATGACCGTAACAATGATACCCGGTTCGTCTGGGTTCGTTAAGTAAAATAATCCTAATGTGAAGAGAAGAAAGCATTCTATCAAACAACACAAACACCTTCGAGCGTATTCACGCGATCGCAAATTAAAATATCAGAATTAAATGTCAAGATCAGTTCACATCTTCAAAGTACCGCAGTCGTGAAGAAGCGTTCGTTCCTCCTCTCACTTTTATTGTGCAACAAATGATGGTAGTCTAAACTGCAGCTGTTCACTAACATAATCTCATCACCTAACTAACGTGTTAATAATACGCTATTTAATGATGAAGAAATTCAAACTATCTGCTTATTAACCATCAGTTGTAAAATTTGACTCTCACTTTAATTGAGCAACTGTTTGTGATTCGCGCTCTTGACACTGTTTAATCGAGAAGCTTTGTTTTTAAGTCAATAATGACATTCTCGTTGAATTTTAACGATAGGTGTATTTGCTCTTAAACTGTGAAAATTATTCAAATAATTTAGTTTCAAATTTTAACGACTTAGCGTATACACTGTTATAATAACTCGTTAAAAAAATGTGTCAAGTTCAAGAACCAGCTGTTGTTTTTTCTGAACAAAGTAGGTATGTATGTATTAATTCAAGGATGACAACAAAATGTCCTCCTGTGGCCAAATCTTTGAAAGCTGAGCATGATTTGAAATCGATATCACTCTAATTCAAGTAGGATAGTAGTTTATTGTGGTCGTTAGTACCACCAGGTCGGTCGGGCAGGCGGTCGGCACGCGCGGGGTCAATGACCCTGTGCTACGTAACGGACATCTCTTCACGACCGCTACACTGCACGCAATGCTGCGACGATGCAGGCGCCCGCTCTTGTCAACGCTCCTGGTTCGTCCGATTTATCGACGTAGTGCCAAGTTTATATCTAAAGTAGAGATTGGCTTACATAATGTAAGAGCTGTTACACATGGCGAGTGTTAGCAGCGATGCAAATGCGCGACTGCATCGATGCAAACGCGCGATTGCATCGATACAAACGAGAAATTGCAACGCGCCTATAAATCGCAAGTGTAGCGATGCAATCGCGCTGAAAGCTAAAAGCCGCCGTGTGTAACCATTCTTATGTATGGTTGTCAATAAGTGTCATCTTAAAAACGTAATTATCTCATATCCAAAGTGCGTTAACATTTACTTTACAACTAGTATTTATATAATTGCAACAAAAGATTTAATATTTATTAATTTCAATACAACCAGCTAGGCCGAATAATTCGGCACGCAAGGCAGATCGGCCGGCTGCGCGCACGCACCCTTTTGAACTTATTGCACAAGGCGCCTTGATAACTGATACTAACTCGTTGCTCCACAGCCGAACAACGCCTACCGTTTATGTAATCGGCGGTAAACGTTGTCCGATGAATCGGTATACCGGTAATCATGTATCATTGGTTTTTTTTCCGTCCCTGAAGGACGATATCTCTACGATTTTCGAGATTTCGACATTTCTAGTTCAGAAGGAAAACGAGGTTTGACTACCATCTAACTTAAGTCCTTTGTTTTATGTAGGACGATGTTGTAAAACACTAGCCGCAACAAGACACCGCAACAAATTTCTTAGAGATCTAACCTTATTTTGGGATTCAGGTGCTTTATTATTGTCTTGGATATATTCCCATTAGTTTATTTTGTAGACATGTGATCTTGTCTGCATATGTATGGCGCCATTAGAGTTGACTGTGTATAATAATAATACATAATAATAATTCATTTATTTCAAATCACTTTGACCCATAGTGTTAGTTACAATGTCACTTAAAAATTAATATTAGTAACAAATACATTTTACACATAGGAAATGAAACTATTTTTCCGGATTTAAATCGCGTATATTTGTTTTTTCAAACAAACCGACGTTTCGGGCCCTTTACAGATACGCGATTTAAATCCGGAAAAATAGTTTCATTTCCTATGTGTAACAATCGCGAAAACCTAAGAACTCGATACATTTTACACAATTAAATTTTATGTTAAATTATTATAGAATAAAATTTTACATATTAAATTATTATTGAAAAGAAGATCTTTTGTTCTACGAAAATGTAGGTATTGAATTCGCTGTTAAAAAAATAGTGTGTTCACAAAAGTCATAAAACAGAAATTGCCCATTTTAATCTCTGCTTTGACGCCAACTTGGCCATTCAAAAAAAAATTATGTAGATAACATGTTTTACTAATGTAGTAATTTTATACATTTTAAAATAAAATTTCACACAAGATTTTGACATCAACGGCTGCAAATCATACTTACAGTTACTCGATAGATGGAATGGATTATAAATTCTAATATAAGTTCAAACACTAACAATATGAGTAATTACTGTGTTCTGCATTTAATGCCATAATACTCATATTATTAATATAAGTTCAAACACTTTTAATTGTGAATTGAAGAATACTCAATGCTTCGGAACGCAATTTAGAATTGAATGTTGATTACTGATTATTAAATATATAGCATTATTTATTCTAATTTTTTTAGTGTATGAATTATCTATAACTTCCTTACACCTAATTGTTTAATAGAATTCTATGTTAAGTGAAACAAATAATAAAATTAGGACAAAATATATCACGAAATATATCTCTTTGATATTTTATTGTAATGTTACTTGTTGTCACTTTCTCGTTTATAATGATTGCACACATGATGCACTTACGCCTAACGTTCTACATGGCTGCCAAAAATAAATTGATGTGACGCTACATACAAATCTGTAGTCACGATTTTTTATATCGATATTGAAATCACAAAAATCGAGGCGTTGGCTGCAGCACTGTATTACAGAGGCAAATCGAGTATGAAAGTGTGATGGTTCGGAGCTGAGCGCGGGTAAGTGGCAGGGGTGTAGTATAAAAGTGAGCGCACTTCTACCACTCTGACATAGTTCACAAGCATCCACGTGCTTCAGTGTCGAACGTCACCCTACAAAAACAACAATGAAAGTTCTGGTAAGTTCACAAAAACCCTTAGAGACCCTTTGAAAATATTAGGTCAATGCCAAATGATACGTGCATTACTAATGTAGTACATTTAGGTCATTAACAATGTTGGTGTTTGACGAACTGGACAATTTAATAGTGAGTGGCAGCAATTAAAAGGTTGAGGTAGTATTTGTGTAAAGGATTTTCCTAGATCAGCTGTTGCGAGAGACATCGCTGAATAAGCCTGGTCAAACGTGTCTGATGCTGAACTTTGACATATATCTTCGTATACCTGCATTTAATTATTGCTTCATACTATATACTCTACAGTTTTATTGGAGATTAAGAACGTAGTGCGTTACGATAGGGTATTAATTGCGTTGTCGTACATAATTTTATTTATATTACAAATACTTGACCAATATCTCTCGTAACATGCTTATTGGGGTATCTACTTAAAAGGTAAGTGATATTCTAATGAATAGCTGTCTGTGTTGCTATGGAATGTCGTTAGCGTGATTGGAGTCTTTTTTAGTATACAATGGAATGTTTCTAATTTTTTGGAGGTAAAATTTTACATTATAGTCAAATAGGTCAAATGCTTTTTTATTAAACTCATAAAAATTGAATAATAGTGATATTTATTGCAAAACTTCAATTAATGATTGCAAATAGAAGCAATTTCTCTTTTTTTTTCTATCACAACATCGTTTGATTAGTTGTTTTGATATGATCTTGATCTCGTATTTGCATTGCATAATGTATTTCTAGGTCATATTTGAGCGCGTGTAAATGTAGGAAAAGTGGCAAGTCTAGTTTTTTGAATAGTTTCTACAATTTTCATACAAAACTTTCATAAATATTACGTAACAAATCCGTTAGTGTGGTAAGATTCGTTCAATATTTACAGAACATCGTAGCAGTATTTTTTGTATGTAGAGTTATGGAAACAAAAGGCAGCTGTAATACACAATTAAGACAATTTCTATCACCCTCTCCAGATGGCACATTATAAAATTATTGGAAACTTTGATTGTACCTGTTAAGGTTTGATATTATGAAATGGGTAATATTTCTTGGTGGTCCCACGTTTTGCACTGTGGACGCTGGACTAGGAGGTCCCGGGTTCGATTCCCGGTAGGACTAATGTAGGATATTAACTTCACAAAATAGGTTCTGATCTGTGGGCAATTAACTTCACAAGATTGATTCCGTTGTTCTAGTACTACAGGGAATTTCACCTAGTTTGAGGCCAGGTAAATGTTGTGGTTATTTGGCACAATTTCAAGGAAACTACAAATTTCGAAATGAGTGTTCGTCTGTTAGATGTGTCTTTTTATGATCATTTCGATTCTACAGAATAATTGTGGTGGGTGTGCCCATGAGCTCCATCATCCCGCCCGCCCCCTTTTACCATCGGACATCCTGACGCACGGCGGGATATCATCCTTACTTGGTCGATATTTTCTTCTGGCATACTAAGCGTTTTTCGTCATCTTTTATTATGCGCACAGCCCAGAAATGAAATTTTGCTGCGACTGTGTTTCCGAGCACATGCAATCCGAATATCTTTGAGATGCGATTGAATAGGCATCTTCTAGGCGAGCTCGTTCCATCGTAGACCCAATCTTTGCTCCAGATAGTTGATTTATTTATTTTGTACAACTTACACTTGTACTGTACTTGTAGTGGTCAAGAGGTAAAAAGATAAATGTATTAACCTGGTTCTATAGATGCATTCGGTAATCTGCGGCATTATAAAATTGCAATAGCTTCCATAACATTCGATAATAGCAGTACCACACCCTAAAAACACTAATGCGTCACTACTTAATGTAGCAACACTGACGTACTTATCTGGTTATTGTTTTTATTTGCGTTTTTTTGTTATAATTGGTTTGGGATATCGTTCATTCGACATGTAATTTGTAGTTTTCAACTGAAATGTTATGTATGTGTGAAGAAGGCGTTAAAAATCAGTGAAGCGAACAAATGTTATGTAATTCGGTATGAACAATGAAATTGTGATTTAATGAAGTTCTTTAATATACTAATCGGACCAAATGATCCAGGATTAGTATATTGTTAGTATTCATATTTATTTTTCTATTTATTTTATTATTATTATGGGTGATGAATGATGACAGAGGTAGTGTGAGCTGTAGTGGCAACACTCAGCTCGCGCTGTTATTATTATTTTAGATAGTTATATATAATAATATATCTAAATTTTAGACTCTCGCCTCTCCCGAGGCCTAAAAGATTAATTTGATTATTATTATTAGAGAGGTTTCATTCATGACTTATGCAGTCCCTCATCACTATAATTATTAGTAGGTAATAGTAACTCCATTTTCTGAATTCCAGACATAGTAATAGGGTCACCATAGTAATTTGTGTTGGTGGGTAGAAACAACATCTAAAATATCGTGAAACATTTCTTTTTATAATACCATGTGACGGGACGAAAAAGTCGTGCGCCTGGTGGTTAGCGACACGTCTATCAATAACACTTGCAGTGCCACTCAGAGCTTTAAATCGCAAAGATATGAAGGGCACTGCCACTGCGCCCGTCACCATGAGACATAAGTTGACAATTCCTTTGTGCCTGTCCTTGTACCAGCACCCTAACCCTTCAAAACTGAAATACAGTAATACTCATATTATTGTTTGGCGGTAGGTAACTCGAGCTCTTTCACAAGGAGCTCTACTGCTACTAAACTACGTGTACGATCATACGTCAAAAGTGCTTTTAATACACGAAAGTCATGAAAATAATACAAACCACATGAAACCAATTAAATGATAATGAAATTTTAGAACTTTTCTATTTAAGCATGAAAAGTTGTCGACTAATTTCGTTCGTAGAATCTTTAAATCACTTTCTTGAAAAGTTGTCATTTTGCAGATGTGGTGTTATAACGCTGAGGGTGCGAATTTATTATTGCACTATGCTTTAGGCTGTGATCCTATCCAAAAATAAGAACAACATTCGTCTTTGAAATTTGTTAAAAAAACAACCTGTTCCATACGTTTGGTCAAGATTAGTATAATATTATTGTTTATTTTACTATTTATTTTATTATTATTATTATGGGGAATTTTTCGGTGCACCTTAACGTAAGGCTCAATTAATATTGCGGTGGAACGGAATGGAAGCGAATTTTTTTTTCGAGAATGCTTGTGCATTACCAAGATTTCCGCGGAAGATTTTTGCTCGTATCTAGTTTGTACGTTACACAATTAACCATAAAATTCATTATGCTATTTACAATATCGTTACAAAGATTCACTTCCATTTCATTCCACAGCAATATAAACATGCTCCTACATGGGTGACGATAGAGGTAGTGTGGGCGGTAGTGGCAACACACAGCCCATGCTATTATTATTATTAGAGTGGCTTCATTCAAGGCTTATGCAGCCTAAACTAAAATGATTAGCATGGAATATTAACTTCATTTTTCACCATAGTAATTTGTGTTGGTGAGTAGAAACAACATCTAAAATATCGTGAAACAATTTTTTTTTATAATTTAATTACCATGTGGCGGGACAAACAAGTCATGCTTTATGTTATATTGCCACTCAGAGTTTTAAATCGCGAAAATCTTATGGGCACTGCCACTGCGCCCGTCACTCTGAGACATGAGTTGACAAGTCCCATGTGTCTGTAATTTCACCAGGACTTTTACCCTTTTATACAGAAACGCATCTATCATGTGAGCATTACTGCCGCCAAGCAGTATTGCTCACATTACTGCTTGGCGGCAGAAATAGGTACGGTAAGGTAGGTGGGCTGTTGGACGAGCTCTTTCACAAGGAGCTTTACCGCTACGAAATTACACCCTATATATTTTATTATTTATTATTATAATACTAGGTGGTCCCCGCGACTTCGTCTATATAGAATAAGTACGTCGAGTAGCATACTGTACTATATTAATTATATACTCGTACGTAGTTTTATTGGTTCTCCATACAAATTTCATCCCCTATTTCACCTTCTTTAAAAAACTAGCCTATGTCCTTCTCCTAGGTTACATTTGTTTCTATACCAAAATGCATTAGTGTTGGTTCAGCAGCTTAAGCCTGAAAACTTAACAGATAGAGGTACTATCGCGTTTAAAATATAGTATGGATTAACTAACACAGCTACAGAGTATTTTTGTAGAAAACAATTTGATAAACGACGTCAAGTTACTATTACTCCGGTAGCGAGGTTGTATTGCGGTATATGATAATTATTTTATTCAACGCTAATTCACTTTTACCATCTCTGTAGGGTCAGCAACATCCAACTTTATGTAATATTACACAATTGGGGCATTTATTACATAGTTGTATAATTATGGGAATATACGTAGACTGTGTTACATTAAACTATAAGAATTATATTTACCTACATTTAAAACTGGTAACGCCTTATATTGTATTGTAATAAAATTACAACGAAAGTATCTCCATTTTTCCCATTGTTGCAATAATTTATCCACTAAAGTATAGTTTCCCAAAGTGGTCTCTACCACCCTCAGTGAGCGCTGAAAGGTCCTTGGGAATAAAAAATCTCAATTATCAATATAAACTACACAACATATATATAATATTTTTCCTTGTAATTTTTTGTGATTTAAAAGAATACGTGTCTTCAATTATTTTTGTATTGGTGGGTGGTTGAAATTTTTTATCTTGCCTAAGTGGGCGGTGAGCCAGAAAGTTTGCGAACCTAGGCACTAAAGAAAGAAAGAAAAAAAATTTTTAGAAATAAGTAGAGTTTCTAGTGAAAAAGTTCGTCCAGAGGAGTACTGCCACCTTGCCTATTTCTGCCGTCAAGCAGCAATGTGAGCATTACTACGTTCCGATTTTGAATTGCAGGATGCTGGTGAAATAACAGGTATGTGGGATTTGTCACCTTATATTTCAGGGTGACACGCGGATTGGCAATGTCCCTCAGATCTTTGCGATTTAAAGCCTGAGAGGCGCTGCAACTGCTAAGGACAGGCGTGTCGCTTAACCCCTGGCGCACGGCTTGTTCGTCCTGTCACTCGGTATTAAACAAAAGAAAGAAAGAATGAAAGTAATATTTATATGGTCTAATATTGGATTGGCTAGTAATATAAAGTAAATATCGAAATGTATGTCGGACTATTACTGTGTTACATATTTTAAGATTACATTGAAGTTTGAATTTTATTTTCTCTACAGGCGAATGTATAGTGGTTTAAATAGGTAAATGTAATTTTTTCTTTTTTATAATACTAAGTGACGGGATGAACAAGTCGTGTGTCCGGTGGTAAGCGACACACCTGTCCCCAACAGTTGCAGTGCCACTCAGAGCTTTAAATCGCAAAGATCTGGCAGCACTGCGCTCATCACTCTAAGATATAAGTTGACAAGTCCCATGTATGCACCTGTAATTTCACCAGCACCCTTACGCTTCAAAACCGGAACACAGTAATGCTGACATTACTGCTTGGCTAGTGACGAACTACTTGTTCGTTCCGTCACTTGATATTATTAAAAAAATTCACCATCTTTTGGGGTCGATTTTTTTAGCATTCTGTACTTGGATTATTTGACGTGTGATCACATGTGGTTATTATACGTACGAAAGAAGGTGAAGTAACGTTTAATCGTCTGATTTATTTATTTAAGCTCTGCAATACAATTACTGCTAACTTTTGCATAAATATAGATAAGCTTTCATATAAACAGTATAAAGTGCGGGAAGTAAATAAAAAAAATCGCACATTTTGATATGAAATAAAGTAGCTTATTATTACACAACGGTGACTAATGACCAACAAGGAAGATTTCAATGCTAACAAAGCATAACCAATATGCAAGAGGATCTGAATGAAAACAATAGCATAGTTGTGGATACGCCAATACACGTTATGCGGAGCCCACTTTCGCCCAACCTGCGTGTCGAATGAGGCTGTTTCACAATCATTGTGCCTATTGTATCCGCTCCATCTTATCTTGCGACATTACGAATATGATTAAGCTCTTCTGTCTGACATCATCTCGTTTCATTATTAATGTACCCAATGCATTTCTAAGCATGGTGTCGGTGGCTATTACGTATAGGTCAAAAAGTAATTGTCTCAAGGACTTCTGATTAATTTATATTATATCATTACTATGGCCGCCTCAAAATTAAGTATATTATTGAAGTTAAAGGCATACAATTTACTCTTTTTTTGTATTTTGATTTCAAGTGCATTGCTTTTAAATATGTTTTAAATGTAGTGTGTATTTTTCATGAAAATTTCAGGTAATTGCCGCAGTTTTAGCCTTTGCGACAGCTCTCCCTCAAAGGAGAGTGTCCCTTAAGCCTCAAGAGCTGCAGCACGCAGACGACCAGGCGACGGCGGAGCAGAACTACAATAACTACCAGTCCCAGCAGGAGTACAGACAACAACAACAACACCAGCTTCAGCAGCAGCAGTCCAGGCCGATTGAAGACTTCAGACCCAAAGTCTCTCTGGAGACCACCACTTTCATCCCAATTATCCGTTTTGACAAGGAACAAGGGACTGATGGAAGCTACAAGACTGCGTAAGTACTCTTAATAACATATTAGTTACTGATGATTCTTATAAGCAAGTCGTTGTAGATGGAATTTATTGAATTACCTTACCTAGAACATGAAATAAAATACGTTATATATTCGAATTCGAAAAGATTATATATTAGTCCGAAATGAACTAGTGCCGGAAACTGGCGAGTTGTTATGTACTTGATGTTTTGTTCAGTCGAAGCTATAGTATAACAGATGCATAATTCAATTTTAATTGATTACTAAGTAATTAATAGCATAGTTCAGCTAACAATTACTGCCCGCTTACCACATAACGAATCATTCATACATTCAAAGTATGCATATCAATTCCAGGTACGAAACCGGTAACAACATCCAGGCCCAAGAGCAAGGTTACCTGAAGACTGTTGGTGAAAACCAGGATCAATCTGCTCTTGTCCAGAGCGGTTCTTACACCTACACTGCGCCCGATGGTCAAGTAATCACTGTAGAGTACACCGCTGACGAATTCGGCTTCAGGGTCAAGGGAGATCACATTCCTACACCTCCCCCCGTATCTCCTGAAATCCAGAAGGGTCTTGACCTCATCTATGCTGGAATCAAAGCCAACCAGGTACATATTTCTTGTGTTACTCGTCAATGACAAATTTGTTCAAAATTATTGAATTTATATTACGCCCATGTCGTCATTTGCGTCATTGAGCGGAACTTTGAACTTGAGTATGTAATTAATTGTAAAGAAATATTTATTGGACATGAACTTTCCATTTGACTACATTCAAATGATAAAAATACCTATTCCGAAACAGTTTTGCATAAAAAGTCAAGGACAGAGCGTCGTTTGTCATCGATTCTAAATTTACATAAAAGTAGTCGCCACAAATCACGGTTTTGATTATCTTCATATGCAAAATTTGACTTTGGCCGCGATTTCTGATTAATGGGCTCGCTGTGATATTTAGATTTCGGATGTTTATAGATGTACATCTATATACATGAGTGATTAAATGTAGCACAGCCCAAAGATTATTCGTACATAATTATCATGCTGGCTCTCGATGAGCCAAACTTAGATAAAGGTCTTCTACATATTGAAAACGATTCTTAACGATTTTTGTCTTCACGTATTCGATTGTAAATTCGGTGATTGAGGAATAATGATTGAAGCGTGTATTAATCTTTTTTTTGGTTCTCAGTTTTCATCCAGACTTCCAATTTTGTTGTGTAATGTTAGTTTGTGGCCAAAAATAGTGCCTTCTTGTACATGAAGTCAATTTTAGATAATATGCCTAATAATAAGATAAATAAGTACGCATTTGACCTCCATCTCTCGTGATCGAAAGTGATAATGCGCTCGACGATGGAGCACGTACATCTAAATAAATCCTATGCACTCTCGCCTTGAAAAGGCTCAAGTTGAAGCATTCAGGGCACAGGTGTGAACGCAGGGAATTCCACTCCATAGCCGTTCGCCACATAAATGTGGAAGCGTAACGCTTCGTGTCTTGGAATATCCACAACAAAGGGGTGGAACCCTAGCCTACGTCTAATTTCCCGATAATGGAAAGTGGAAGGCGGAATTAAATCATACAATTCCATGGCACACTTCATTACAGGTATATCCTGTTCTGGAATACCGCCGACAAGCAGATAGCTGTAGGTTTTTATATAACGAATATAGCGTTTTTTTTATTGGATGATAACTGAGAGATATTTTTATTCTTGTATAATCCATATAATACATATAGATTATACAAGAATAAAAAAATATAGTAAATATCTTATAAGATTTATCATAAAAATTGTATTACATTTTCAGGAGCGTCAAGAAATTGAAGCCAGAAACAATCCAGAGGCCGCTAGACAACAAGAAGAGAAAGCGGCTCTCGACTACAAAGGTCTCTACTACCAGCAGTAGATTAGACTGACGAAGTGTTGACTATGAACTAGGTCGTGAATTAAGTGATATACTAATGTATAAAAATTTTATATGGCTTGTAGTAAGAGCCGTGGACTGCCAGCGTTATTTATAATAAAAAAGTGACGTCACAACAATCAGCTTTACCCTAACAATCTAAGATTCTTAAAAAAAGACCACCAGAACATATAACCGTACAAAATCTACATCTGCAACGAATTTTTTTTACTAGTGCAAGTCACGTAAATATTTTCATACTGATTCCTTAAAAAGAATTTGCAAGATCTACCAGAGACAATAAGATTTATTGTGCTATCTACTGAACTGGAGAACAGGAGATATGTTTAAACAACCAATGGGAATAAGTTATTTTAACATTATCAATCCCCCTATTAAATACAACGTAAACCTATTGAATGTTACACATACCTTTCCTTTGTTACCAATCCGTTTTGGTGAATACTAAACACTAGGTCTCGTAATTATGTAATGTAATCAATTTGTAAATATTCATGAGGCTTTTCTTACATTCTTGAAACTGAGATACAACACAGAAGTGTTTATTTTGTACTTTTGTATATACTTTATTAACTTATCTTCGTGTTTGATGTATGAATAAAATGTTAATTTTTGTGTAATAGTTGTACATTCATTTCGATTCCTTTTATGGTAAGAAATTGTACAATTTTTTTTGCGTTCTTAGGTTTTCGCGAGTGTTACGCATATGAAATGTAACCATTTTTTCAGATCCAAAGAGCGTATTTTTTATTTTCAAATAATCCAACGTTTTGGGCTCTTTACTGGTCTCATGATCATGGCATAATGATCAGTCGGCCAATTGTGTCCATACGACCTGTAAAGGACCCGAAACGTAGGTTTGTTTGAAACTACAAAATGTACATGATTTGGATCCATTAAAAATTGTTACATTTCCAAATTGTTATTGACCTTGTGCTAGCTTTATGACTCATAGAAATTCAGCAATTTAGAATATGAAATTGATAAACCGTCTTATCACGAAAACACAGTTTAGGCTACCATAAGGTATAAATTTATTTACATATGTTTAATAATAAATCTGGCCATTCTTGGTGCACTACAATAAAAATATTTTAGCTATCACCATAATCGTAACTAATATTGGAAATGAATCTAATTTTTAGATCTAAGTCGCGTATACTTCTTTTTTAAAACAAACCAACGTTTCGGGCCCTGTACAGGTTCTGTGGTCACGGCTGACAAACGTTGGTTTGTTTGAAAAAAAAAAAAAAAATTCCAATTTCAAATGTGTAACAAGCGCGAAGAACATAATATAGTTTTAGGTCTGTAATTTTTGCCGTATAGATTTTGTGTTTACAAATACCGATAATACGAAATCTTAGGATATTTTACATTTAAATTTTAAGGAAGACATGGTGGATGCAAGTAATATCATCAGTAAATCATCTGAATATTAAACGTAATTGCATTGTAATTTGCATAACATTTCCGTATAAGCGACAAGCATTTTCGTAATACCTTTAAAAATAAAGAAAAAAGTTTACTTCATAAAATTATAAATCTAACGGGGAAGATTTAAATTTAATTTTGACGCAAAATTGTATATTTCAGAAATATTTCTTGTGGATTACAGCCCGAAATGGGTGTGATCCATTTCTTTCTGTCCACCAGACATAGATTTATGAATGAATCCGGGGACAGTGACGCCAAAATATATTCCACGACCATAATATGGTAGCCTTCGACTACAACTTGATAACGTGATGCATGACGAATAAAATTCGTATATTCTAAGAATTGCAGTCTTGTCTCTAAGCCGCATTATCAAAGAAATGAGTTTTGAAAAAGATTCTGTGTTATCTCAAACTACAATAATAATAAATCACTTATTTTTCGCAATACATTAATAAATAATAAAGTACACAACATATAAAGTTTAATATCACTTCATAGATACGTGACTTCATTTTTCTTCAAATTTATCTACAGTGCGCCTTATTCAAAACGAACTAACTTGCTCATCGTTCAGTCTCAATATTGCTATCGACAAATTTATAAACAGTAAGCATAACATTTGAAAAATTTGAAAATGAATTGCAGTAAAGTAAAGTAAACAGCAGTCGTATACAACAGTATATTTAATGCTAAAGTAGACAATTGTATCATTATTTACTTACTTAATTTTTTTATAGTACCGGATGACGGGACGAACTTTCGCCTGATGGTAAGCCAGGCGGGCAATACCATTTGTAGTGCCACTCAGAGCTTTAAATCACAAATATTGGAGGGGCACTGCCATTGCGCCCGTCACCATGAGTCATATTGACAAGTCCCATGTGTCTGTAATTTCGGCAGCACCCTTATTCCTCAAAACCGAAGTAATAGGCGAGGTGGCAGTACTTCCCTGGACAAACTGCTTCATAAGGAGTTCTACTGCTATTTATTATGAATTGTGAAACCTTAAATGTGACGTTTTCAAGTGTAAATTTATTTTACCTGTGGAATAAATCATCTTTGACTTTGACTTTGACTTTGAATTAATTAATCTAAATTTTAATTTTTTCCGAACTTTATTCCGGCATTAGTCATTTTGAAATTGTTTTGAAATCAACAATTTCTTTTTTAATTCTTTTGTCCATTACTTTATAGCGTAACACAAAAACCATATTATTACATTTTTGAAAAATACTCACCTATCACTTACGGACATTCACGCTGGTTACAATGACTTATTTTAATTACTTGTGTATCACTATAATACTTTGGTTTTTACCATCCTATGGTTTTACCTTAAATCTATAATTATATCTATATTTTTATTAGAAGAGTAGAAAAGGAATTTTGTTCAAAAACGGAGTTATGAGGTTTTTAAATTTGGCGAAAGAGTCCTTTCTATCAGTTATGTCAGTATTTTTACGATGTTTGAGAGAGGTCTAAGTTTAACAGTGGGGGTCTTTCGGTTGATATGATGAAGGATATACATACTCTACTAAAATCATAGCATTCCTTTCAGTTTCCCTTCCGTAAAAAGTGCAGTAATTAAGCAGCTAACTGATATGCTCAAATATTTGATGCCAATATTGTATAGCTATTAGGAGGCTCTCTAAAGCGTGCTATTCTTTTTTTTTATTGCTGATTTATTGTATTGTTTGCTCATGAATGAACACTCGTATCGTTTGTCGCAAGTTTTTAACAGTACCTAGATTAAAATGCTTTCAAACAGGGTAGGCATCAGCATACAAAAAGCACAACGAGCTACTTTGCATATGATAACTTTTTGAAATATGCGCTAATCAGTAAATATGTCAAATTTTATAACTATAATCACAGTACAGAGTACTAAAAAAACCGACCTCGATAGTTCGTGGAATTACATCTATTTGCCAAGTTTTATTGAAATACATTACCGGAAAGTACGCGAAACCGGATTCGTCCCCTAGTTTACAACCCTTAGAGGTAGAGTATTTTCTTCAAATTTTAAGTGGACCGTTACCAGTGGACATTATGAGGGTACCTCACCTCTTTCCATGAAAAGTATCATCAAAATCGGTTCACAAATTTCGGTTACAAGAGTTATCGCGTAACATACATAAAAAAAAACATTTTGGAGTCGGTTAAAAAGATAAGATTGGGAAACCCCGTAAAATTTTTGTTTTCATTTCCTCCGTCTTACAAAATGACCCACGTAGCCATAGCGTTTTCAAATTACTTTATAAAATTAGATGCACATAACGTACCGATAAATAAACTTCGCTCATTATTGCCCTGTAATATTTCATCAGTTTCGCCATGCCACCCGCAGAACAGGATCTGCAGACACCACGATGTGTCTAAAGTATGTCACAACGAACATACTGGACGTTAGACAAATTTCCATATTTTATTAGTGAATATCGCGAACATAATCTACATTACGATTACTGATTATAATTCTCTGAGAGGCCTACTATCACATAAGGACATCGTTTTTAATGTTTGATTTTCAAAATATTTACGTAGTAGTGACGTAGTAATGCATCACATCGCATTACTGCTTGGCGGCAGAAATAGGTTAGGTGGCAGTACTACCCTGGACGAACTCTTTCAAATGGGCTGTACTGGTACGAAAATGTTTTGATGTAAAAGTAGCAAAGGAAGTCTTTTTACACTAAGCATAGTTTGATTATCTATTAAAATGAAACATCTGTTACAATAATTAATAAAATCAATAAAAATTAAATAGTAGTACAAAGGTCGCACACATATAAAAATTATTTTTATAAACTATTTGCAACTTTTGCAGTTGTCCTAGATTGGTATAAAGACATAATCTCGTTCTCTTCACGCATGAAGATTCATTTTTATAAATAGCGCCTAAATTTTATTATGAGGAGCAATCATTTTAATGGTTGATTTTGATATTCTCCAATTCAAAGCGTTTTTCTCTCTCAATATACTTTGAGTAGTGAGAACCGATTTTATTATCAGGAGATAAAGTGTCAAGTCCCGTATAGCGAACTAGGAGATGAATCCGGGTTTGCGCAGTTTCCGATAACCGATTTCAATAAAACTTGGTAATCATATAATTCTACGTACTTTTGAGGCCGATTTTTTAGTACTCTGTACTGAGATTATTATTTGGTCGAGTCATAAATCGTTAATAAAAACGGTAGTAAAATAATTAGTCAATGGTAGTAAAACATGTAAATTAATTATTAATAAATTTGTCAGTTTGGTACGATATGACAAATGAGGTTTTCCCATAAGCAACAAAATTGCATGCTCTTTCCGTAAATTTAAAACTGAGAACTTATTTAGATATACTACTTAGTACTCGTAGTAAATTGTTTTGTAAGCATACAATTAGAGAGGACCCTTCGCCGCTCAATAGGGTAATCGGATGATGCTCTATTTGATAAGCAAGTTGTAAATTAATTATCATAAATTTTACGCATAATGCTAGTGCATGCGTAAATGTATTATAATAATTTATGCTGTATTGTAATATATATGTCGAACAACGCGATTAACTGATAGACAATAATTTAAAAAATGGATTATTCTAACGACAACTGTACGTTAAAATAGACAATAATTAAAAAAGAAATTAAAAACGTTTAGATTGCCTAACAAGATTTTTTTTAAAAGGAAATTAAAAGGTAACGGAAATTTTGCAAACGGAGTCTCCTAGAAAACGTCACTCATACCATGTGGATGTGTTAATTTAAGACATATCTAATTAAAATTTGCAAATATATCCCTTAAATTTAATACATTCAGAACTTGAGAGGATGTTAACATTAACGCAAGCGGCTACTAAAGGGCATGGTGTTTGTGAAGCAATCGGAATTGTATAAAATAATTCGATTCCATCTTCAACAAAACCTTGCAGGTAATTTGTTTTCCATTAGTGCAACCGGTTAGGAATTTTGTTTAGAGTTGTGTTTTACAATGTAACAGCATGTTACCTCTTTGTTTATTGAAAACGATCCAATTATCTAGCATTTTTTATATATGTATTATGGTATTATGATATGGTGTAACAGTCTGGTGTTACGTACGTTTGGCTTTATACACATTTTAAAATAAAATCTTAATTCCAAATCCAAACACATGAATAGTTAGGCCTATTTTCTGAAGTAGTAGAACTTACTTTCAATTAAACTTAAGGTTAACAGAATTATGACCTAAATATTACTCACTCAATTGTAAATAATAATATTTAGCAGCGTCACGACTTAACGAAGTTTCAAAGCTCCATAGGACAAATAACGTCTCATGAATAAGAATAGAGTAAAAGCAAATACGTGGTGTCAACTGCATAGCTGTCGTGCATTATGAGCTTGAGATGAATCGGGATGCGCGCGCGCAGGTCGCGCGAAGTTCATAGGTAAATGAGCGGTATATAAACCCCATGCAGTGTCACCGTGCACACACCTATTCTACCCGTGGCTGTATCCAGACCTACTTGAGATTCCTGCCCTACATTCCAACATGGTGAGATATGCATTTTGTCACAAGTGTTAAATATAAATTCACGGGGATGGTGAAAGTGCGTTCAGAATGTTATATTATTTGTAGTATTGGAAACAAAATTATACTTATTTATTTTTCAGGCAATACAAATAACAAAATGTAATTAAATATAATTGAACATTACTGCAATTGGTAGACGTACAAAACTTTGCAAGCGATTCAATCAAGTTTCTTAATATTTACCTCTTACTAAATGGTCGACTAAACAGTTCATATTAAAGATATAACTAGCTTTTATGCAGGTATTCTATGAGAGATGAGAAGTTTATTGCTCTGTATGAACCTATATACTTTCCATTGTAGATTTGAGGCATTCTTGGTCACACTGGCGCACCGCTTGTTGTCTGTTAAATTATTTATTTTTATTTTTGTTAATGTCCTAATAACAGGTATGCGACACGAACAATAGAGAAAACATAGAAAATACTTCAAAATTAATATAGTAGGCTTATCTATGCTATCTTATCCCAATTATAACTATTCTCAACATTCAAGCCAGACAGAATTCCAAACAGTATGCATACAATCAAAACAGTAATCTTGCATGTTGTGTAAAAACTCAACATGCTGGATTAATAACTTTGTGTATCGTCAACTTAGGCAAATAATAATGAGTGAACTAGTGTTCGAGAAAATTACACTAAACTAGTGTTAGTGAAAACTTGATTTATATATACTCGCTGTATGCATTTTTTCCATACAATCCTTTCGACGACTTGCATAAAAGAGATTTATTAACTTTAATAAAGTTTGTGAAGCCCTTCAATTAAACAATAAGGGTTAATTGAATGGTAGCTACGATTCATTAGTATATAACCAGAAATAGAGACGAAATGTCATTTAATTTGTTTGAAAACTATTCTGCCAAATCATTACTGCGCTCCGATTGGCCAGCCCGAATTCAAAACAATTGACGGGTGTCGTCAACTATTTCATTTCATATCGACCAGTTTAACTAGAGCTCTGCTATAATGGACGAAAACTGCAAAATTACATATTTAATTACCGATGAAATATGATTCCGTTCGTTTTGTAATTAGATGTTTTGCTGTTTTTCCCACACCACCGAATGGAACCGCCCCATTGTTAGAGATATTATCGTTATTACATTAACTACAGAATATTTTTGGAATATACGGAGACGTACACAGTGTCAGTTGTTGGCGCTGTACTATTTCAGTTTTCTAATTTGTGATTTCAGCGCAAACGAAAGTTGATATTTAAAAGTGATATAAGGCTCAATTGCTGAGTTGATGCTTGATGAGTTGCCAGGGATAGATGGCCCTTATTTCGTCTCTGTATTTCCGGTTATATACTCGATGTCGCGATTATAGCATTAGACAAAACAAGAAGAGCACGTTATAGGTTAAGCTAAAATTGTGCACTGGAACAACAAGTAACACAGGTGTGCCGTACAATTCGTTGCCGTTTATCACTAACAAGGAAGCTCTAAAGCCATTTCTGAGAACACATTTAGCGTTTCATGCAAAGTAAGGTGAATTTATCACCACTGAGCGAGGGGCAAAAGTCAGCACGTGCATCCACTTACTTGAATAAGATGTTTGTCGTATCACGGATCCTTTATTTCCCGCATTTGACAAAGCCCTAAGTTGGTCACGTTTCCTTTAATGTGTTTTTTGTTTGTTTAATTTCACTTTCTGAATGTGTAAAGTAAGATTACTACATACAAGGGCACAAAATAAAATAATCTAGATGAATAGAGTCGTACAAGTTTCTAAACAATCTAAATTATAGTAATAGGGTTTAAATATTGCAAACATGAGTGAAAATTTCGTAATCTTTTTAGTTAGGAGTAATTTTTTGTTTTCTTTTTATTATTAAAAAATAAGTGCGCATTTGACTTCCATCTCATCTGATCGAAAGTGACGATAAAGTCGGCATGGAACATGCACATCTAAACAATATCTATTCGCTCTCGCCTTGAATGGGCTCTAGGTATACCATTCAAAGAGCAAGTCTGCTCGTTGGGAATTAAATTCCATAGCCGTTCGCGGTATAAATGTGGTAGCGAGGCGCTTATGGCGACTCCTTGGAATATCCACAACATAGGGGTGGAAACTTAGCCAACTGCCTACTACTTAATCTATTGGATGTTAAATAAAAACAACATATTATAATTGTTTAATCGCGATGTTTTCATTGCTTAGTTTACACTTTTTGATGACTCGTGTTTAGTGTAAACCGTCTTCAGAGAAGACAATGAGATCGGCAGCATATTATGGGCAACGACACATATATGTATTGAAGGGTTAGAACAGTGTAGTCTCATTTGTTTAAAAATAATTTTAATAATTAAATCCGTATTATAGCATACTAGTCGGTTAGGCATATTTAAACAGAATAAATTTTACACATTAGACGCAAACATCCATCGGAAACAAACAGATATTTAAGTTTTAAAGTTAATGTTTCACGTAGAGCTTTTATGACTTGCCACTTAACATTCTTACCTCAACTATAGGCAGAGTCCGCAGGTGACGCCATGAGTGCTAATGAAAATAACCTATGGAGTACACTCCTTGTATTATGCACTTAGGTTCCTCTCTAAACTGTGCTTAGAAATACTCGTAAAGGTAATTTAAAAAAAGTAATAACGTTAGACCTAAAATGCGATAAAACACAACATCATGACAAATACTACATTTATAAATAATATAAATACCGCTTTAATAACTCATTAAATACGAACGCAGAGTGTACCAATAAGATGCGACCACAGCACAGACCAATAAATACTAGTGTGCGACTATAATTCAGCTAGTATAGGAGTTGTCCGATTGGTAGCGCATTATTTTGTAAGTTTTAAATGTATCTTTTAAGTAAAATTTTATTACACCTTGAAGAATATACACATTGTAAACACCGCTTTAATAACACATTACCCACGCACACAGGGTATGCTGGGGTGCGACCATAATTCAGCTATTAATGGAACTGTCCGATCGGCTGTATATTACGTTTTTGTATAGTTGAACTAAATATTGTACATTTTTATTGTTCTTTTAAGGCTGTAAGCAATAAATATCATTCGACGCTGCATTTGAAATACCTAACGTTAATGGTATCAAAACGACGCCTCAAACACGAGTTTCTAATCTAAATGTCTCAGTGTAGGTTCTATTCGACAAACTTTTACTATGAACGAATGTAATCCACGTGTGGTGCAAAATAATTGCCGACATTATGAATGAAATGTCAGACAGGACGGTTCACGTGTTCACTATCAATGTAAAGGGTAACTGTGCACTTAGTCAAGCAGTTCTAGATCATAATCGAAACTCGTACGTTAGTGGAATTATAAAGTCTTTGACATTTTCATTTGTTTTCTTTCACTAAAGGAATAATAAATTTAAAGTTGCGGCTGTGTAAATGGTACATACATAGGTACTTAAATTCGTGTAACTTCCTCATCTTTTGCCGTCTCTTAGCTTTAAAGCATATTATCTATTCGTTATATTTATATGCGTGCATTTATATGAATGTGTGGTTTCGCCATTCAATGCATCGTTGCAAATATAAGATGTATAGGTATCCAAGCATTGTACGTTGAGAAAGCACTTTCGAATCTTACCGCTTCCGGCACTTGAATGCGCCGTGATACAGTACATTTTGCTAGAATAAGCGTGCTTCGTAGGCGCACGTTATAACAATACTTGTACATTAGAGTTACTGAAAATCTATTCGGTAACTTTCAGTTTCAAATCCTAAAATGTTTTACAAACATCTAATCGACTGACATGCTTAAATATGCTTTTAAATCTGCATCTACGACTAAATACTTAATGAATTTTAACGCCTTAAATATAAAAACGCAACGACGTCGGTTTGCCGTTAATTTTACTTCAGGCATTTTGTCAAACGCGTTTAGGCGTTGGGCTGCTGCGCTTCTGCAGTGCATTAGGAATGGTTGGCAGTTGCTGAAGGTAATGTGAATTCTTTTTACGCCACTATGCGTAAAATATGTATACACTTAATTTTTCTCAATCTTTTAAACATTAGTTTATAAAAATGATTAATATTAGTTTTTTTGTAAATACTTACACAATGTTCTATAAATAAATGATTATTATTAATATTTCAGTACTTAATATTATAATATAATAACGCACACATTCAACATAGCCCCGCACTAGGGAAACCCTGTGTCGCGGGTACCATGGACACACACATAGACAACCACAAATTACACCCAAACTCACGAGAGAAATAAATGTAGGCCATACAAATATTTCTCCCGGCCCGGGAATCGAACCCGGGGACCTCTGCATGGCAGTCCGGTATGGTAACCGTTCGGCCACGGAGGCAGTTTAGTTATTGTAAAACAGAATGGACTTATTTGCTTTAGAAATGGCTTTAGAGCGTATTTTTTTCATTTAATACCAAGTGATGGATCGAACAAATCATGCGCCTGGTGGAAGGCGACACGCCTGTCCATAACATTTGCTGTGCCACTCAGAGCTTTAAATCGTAAAATCTGAGGGCATCCTACTGCGCCCGTCACCCTGGTTGACAAGTCCAGTGTGCCTGTAATTTCACCAGCACCCGTAATACCCTTCAAAACCGGAAGACAGAAATGCTCACATTACTGCTTGGCGGCATATAAATAGGTAAGGTGGCAGTATTTCCCTGGACGATCTCTTTCACATGGAGCTCTACTGCTACTAATTTCTGTGGTAGTCCCAAAATCACAAAAACTTACAGGTGGTAAATACTTTTCATTTGTTACAGATCTCTGCAACTGTCCTGGTGTTGCTTTCACTAACAGTAGTAACGTATTCGCAAAAGCCCGGCGCAAGTGGCGGTGACCAGATACCTATTATCAAATATGAAACTGATGGACCAAATGTTGATGGATCTTATAAATGGCTGTAAGTACAAATGCATATTTCGGATATTGTTAGAGGCATCCATTTGAATATAGATCACCTTGTGACAACATCCATTGCGATTAAATACTTACTTATACTTTATGAAGTCTTAGGAATTTACTTTAGGTTGTTACCAGGGTTATTTGTAAAATACTACCAACCTTCCAGGACTATACTACTAACATCATTTACAACAACTTTTGTTCCATGACTTTTTTACCAAGAATCTCAGCACAGAGTACTTAAAACCCGACCTCAAAAGTTCGTGTGCTTTTTGCCCGAAAGTAGAGATGGAACATTTTCTTCATATTTAAATGGAACCACTACTGAAGTGCCCTCTTTCCAACAAAAATAATTATCGAAATCGGTTGACAAATATCGGAGTTATCGCGAGACATACTTACAAAAATTACCTCCTATTTTGAAGTAGGTTAAAAATAAATTTTGGAATAAGTTTTTATTGTACTATCTGACACTTTGTAGATCTGTATTTGGTAGTAAGGTAGTAAGTTCGAATGTGCAAGCGTCCTTACCGACGACCAACCCCGGCTCCTGCGTTTTGAATCGTACTGGTATTTACGCCAGCGCTTTCTTTGGTTACTGCACAGAGTCATCGTTTCTTATTATTATTTTTATTTTTGTACGAAAGTAAAATGTTATGAATTATTAAAATTCACAGAGCAAAAATGAAATTTATGATGTTAGTAATATAGATCTGCGAGGTTGTTAGTATTTTACAAACAACACTGTATATAGAAATGTGGATGGCTTGTCGTTTTGTATTCCATAATTAATTTTAATAATAAAAGAAATAATAATATGCCAAACAATTGTATCAATTACCTGCTCTTAAACTATAGAAATCCCTGTATCTACTATAAGTGGTACTGTAAGTATCAGAGTAACGGAATTTACTCCGAAACACTAGCCACAGCACCCGGAGAAGAGCCAATTTAGAAAAGTTTATTACCCAAATTGGTCCTACAGAGAATCGTACCCTGGACCTCCGCGTTCAGCATCAGCACAGTGCAAACCGTTGGGCCACCAAGGTCGTCAAAACCATTGTTTCTCCTCATAAAGTTTATTTTGGAGTGAATATTAGAGGCTTAGATGTAATGGCAGCTTAATAAATGTAAACTATTTCTTTACAATCCTTCAGTTACGAGACAGGCAATGAAATCAATGCTGAAGAATCGGGATACGTGAAAAACTTTGGGAAAGGTGAAGGAGAAGAAGTTCAAGTGGCTGAAGGAAAGTTCAGTTTTAAAACACCAGAGGGCAACCTCATTTCGCTTACCTACATAGCTGATGAGAACGGCTTCCAGCCACAGGTGAGCTATAAGTTTCTGCGGGCTTATTGGTAAAGCTTCTGGATATTTTACTTAGTTACATAGATATTTCTTCTGTCACACTTCGCACTTTACATAAGATATTACTTATGTCTACAAGTTTCCAAACAACCTTATATTTTTTAATGCAAAAAATGTTTTGAACCCAAAATAGTACAATTTACTGATAAATACAAGATGTACGAAACAACTTTATACATAGTTATAGTCGAGTTCTTAGGTTTTCGCGATTGTTACACATAGGAAATGAAACTATTTTTCCGGATTTAAATCGCGTATATTTGTTCCCATGGTCACGGTTGACAGTCAACCTGCAAAATAACTTTCAAGTTATCACAAAGATACTAATTGTCCCCTTGCCCTAAACGTAAGTACGTCTTACGTAAGTCGCGTACAGAAAATGCAGATTCTGCCACGACGCGGATGAAACTCCTGTGCATCTCCTCAGCCAGTGCTGCCCTCTAATGGGCGAAGTTTCATACTGGGTAGGCACAGGCCACATCCAGAGGGCATAAAAACTGTCGGAGCCAGGAAAGTCCTACAGTTCTTTAATGCTGTTGGCCTTGCCTCCGAACTGTAATTAGTGGTGATCACAATAGATCAGTCAATGGTCGCAGTGATGAGGGGCCGCATAGGTCCCCAATGATGCCATCCTAGTAATAATAATAATAAGTACATCTTAACCAATGCTTGCAATGTAAAAGATACTCTATAATCATTGTGTTTAGAGTATCTTATCAATTTAAGCGTTGGTTTAAGACGTACTTAAGTTTAGTGCAATAGGACATCAGTTTCATAATAGCAGTTACGAAAACATCGATTGCCATCTTCTAGTAGCATTTCCAACAAAAAATACTCCAAAACCTTTGTTGTAAATTATATCCAAATTTCTCTAAAATGGTTGTGAGTGAAGTCTGAATCATAATTGCGTAAACACTTAAGGAAGACTGAGCAAGGTAGATTCTGTGTTTCGATTGGCTAACGTGTGTGCAAATGTCATAGCAAATATCAGCCAGCGACCTGTGAACCGCCTTTATGTGGGGAATATATTCTGTCGACATTGAGTTCACTTCTTTTACCGTCTATCCGGCGAAATGTTACTGACCACTATCAAAAAGCCGAAACGTTTATACGATTACTAATATAACAACTATTGTAACCTCGATTCAGAACCAGTAGCGCTTTATTAACGTGCGTGTTAATTTGTATACTGAACTCATAAATATGTCATAATTGGTAATGCTTTGACAGATGGTTAGCAATACTTTATTGTTAGAATGCTGAACCTTTTATTACCGTTACTAAATCAACGTTTGGTAATTCTTCTAGTTGGTGTAATGTTCTTTTTTTTATTACACAATTCGGATATGTATACGTGGGATAGAGACAATAGGAATTTGTCGAGGCCTAAAAGTTTATATAGTTGGTTTTATAACATTAAATGACAGGACGAACAAGTCGTTCACCTGGTATTAAGCGACACACCTATCCATAGCAGTTGCAGTGCCAATCAGAGCTTTAAAACGCGAAGACCTGAGGGACAGTGCTACTGCACCTGTCACCCTGAGACATAAGTAAACAAGCACCCTTACCCTTCAAAACCGAAACACAATAATGCTCATATTACTGCTTGGCAGTAGAAATAGGTAAGGTGGCAGTACTTCTCTGGACAAACTCTTTCAAAACTCCTTGGTGCTGGATGCGGGTTTGATTCCCGGTAGGACCAATTTGGGAAGTGAACTTTTCTAAATTAGTTCAGTCCGGATGTTCTGGGAAGTAGCCCAGAGTAAATTTCGTTGCTCTTGTACTTATAATACAAAGAATACCCTAGTTTGAGACTAGGCAAGTGGTGTGATTGTCTGGCACATATTATATCATATATGTATGTATATTAATCTGAGTACTCATTAACCGACCGTGTTATGTTACCAAAAATCATAATGAGCCGACGATAACCAGGTACTCATTCTAGCTACTGTTTCATGCGTACATACTAGAACATAGTTTCCCAACGTGATCATTACCTCCCCCCAGTGGGCGATGAAGAGTCGTTGGGGGGTAGGGGCCTCAGAAGCAACTGGGGGGCGTTGACGCTGTATAGGGGGTGCTACCGCATTTGAAAATATGTAATTTATTTTCCTTGTGATTTTTTGTGTCAAGTTAATTTAAAAAAAATACGTGTTTTCAATTATTTTTTTGTGATGGTGGGCTTTGAAATTTTTTTACCTTGTCTAAGTAGGCGGTGAGCTAAAAAGTTTGGGAACCTATGCACTAGAAGCTCGTTACTGTATCTGTCACGTTACAGTTAATGTGTACCCGACTTTACGTGCCTTTTCTGTTGTATGTACTCCTTCGGCTACTTAAGTCTTTTGATGTCGCGTAATAAAATGTTTTTTTTTTTATAAAATCAAGTGACGGGACAAACAAGTCTTGAGCCTGGTGGTAAGCGATAGGTCTATCCATGAGAGTTGCAGTGCCACTAAGAGCTTTAAGTTGAAAAGCTGTGAGGGACACTACCACTACGCCCGCCACCCTGCGACTTAGAGTTGACAAAAGCCATGTGCATGTAATTTCACTAGCACCCGCTTTCAAAGCCGGGATGCAGTAATGTTCATATTACTGCTTGGTGGCTGAAATAGGTATGTTGGCAGCACTTCCCTGGACGAGCTCTTTCAAAAGAAGCTTACTGCTTTTATCATACATGCATGAAACAAAGATCGAACACAGAAAACTTTCTTTCTATATACTTGCTGCACAGAGAAATTCTAGGCAAAAAAGTCGTTAAAACCAAAAATAGGATCTGACGAACATTTTCACAAGAAGTTCAATTTTTTTTACGATTTTGACACATTATTTGATTTTAAATTCGAGAATTAATCGTTAGTAAAAACATATTTTATTTAACTCGACGTTTCGGACGTATTGCAATGTCCATTGTCTCGAAGGGACCCCTTGATAAATAATGAGTTCTATTGCTGCTAAAAAATATCTTAATTAATTTATTCGAATTTTTAACTATTTTTGTTCCTGGTATGAAATAGGCATGTGTAGCCGAAGGAAACATATGCCTATTTCATATCGAATATAAAATAATCTTAGATATATTCAAATTGGCGCTGTTCTTTTTTCAGGGTGATCATCTTCCAACGCCACCGCCTATTCCGCCAGCAATTCAAAAAGCACTCGAGTATTTGAAGACTCTACCGCCGAGCGCCACGGGAGCGTCATCTAATATCCAGCCCCAATACCAACAAGCCCCGGCCCCCTTTAAAGCTAGGGGAAGATTTTAATTTTTAACTCATTATTTTGAATAATATTTTATTCAGCACTCTTACTTTCTTAATAAAAAAACGAGGGGATGTAAATTGCCTAATCTCTCTAAATCTAAAAAATATTTTGTTAAATATGTAATCTGAAATTTATTTTATGATTATTGCCATACCATATGCAATCATATTTGTTATTAGAAAAAAAAATATTTGAGAGACAAAGAATAAATTGTGATCGCATATGATGCAATCCAAGACCTATTTTTGCAAATATATTTAAGGACCTGTAATCAGTTACCATGCGTTTCATGTCGTTTACATAACTTTAAGTTTCTTGTTATGTTGTAAGTTAAATTACGAATGTTTTAATAAACAACAAAATATTCAGTCTTTTTCTGACCAATTATTTCTTTTACGGGGTAAAAAGTACGTAGAGAAATATTTGTATGGCCTACATTTATTTATCTCGTGAGGTTGGGTGTAATTTGTGGTTATCTATGTACATATGTGTCCATGGCACCCGCGACACAAGGTTTCCCTAGTGCAAGGCTATGTTGAGTGTGTGCGTTATTATTAAAAAAAATTTCAGTACAGAGTACTGGAAAAACCGACATCAAAAGTTTGTGGAATTACATTTATTTGCCAAGTTTTATTGAAATTGGCTACAGGAAAGTGCGCAAAACCGGATTCATCTCCTAGTTTACCACACTTGGAGGTGGAATTTTCTTCAAATTTAAATGGGGTCACTGCCGAGGTACCATCATCATCAGGTCATCAAAATCGGTTCACAAATGCGAGTTAACGCATAACATACATACAAAAAAAAAATAAACAGTGGAATTGAGAACCTCCTCCTTTTTGAAGTCGGTTAATAAATAGCTAACATTCATAGTGTACTGGCGTTTTTAGTAAAGCAATAATTCAAACGTCAACTTGGTAAATTTGACTACGTTATGTGTAGTCAAACGTGGGTACTGTCAACAGCATTCTCCGCTTTACCCTGGGCCGCACGTATCCAAATCAGAGATGAGTGTTTTATATGTATTTTATGTAGATAACGAGATTCTAAGCCATAAATATCGATACACTTACGATTAGGACATTATCTTGTGTGGTTTCACAATGTGATTTTATTTTTTGAATTCGTCTCGAACACAACTTTACTGTGATATTGAAAGTGACAGGCACTAAAATAAAGGCCACGGGATGCGCATCAGAATGAATTTGCTTCCAAATATAGCGAATTAAAAAAGCTTGACAAATCAAGCTTATTATCATAATAATGTAATAAAAACCAATTAATTAGGTCAAAGTGTGTTTTATTGCGTGATTATAAATTTGCCATAATAATTTTAACACGCTCTTAAGACACTGAAACAATTACAGGTTATAGAGATTCTTATAAAACCAGGGTGGTCAGACTAAATACTATAAATTATATTAAAAGCTACCCGATATTCACATATTCTTTTTTCGCACGCTTGTTCTAAAATGACAACTGCTTAAAGATTTCTACCTTAGACTATTATTTTTTTTCCATCCTCTAAGGATTCTACGAACGAAATTATAGTCTATAATTTTTTTTGCTTTACTATTGGAGTTATAATATTTGACATATCGGTGGAATGGAAAACCTCGCATACGCGTTTTCATATAGATCGTTTTTACTATTGTTTTTTAAAAAAATTATAAACTCCTTAAAGAATGAAATGAGAAAGAAAGAGGTATAATTTAACTAATTAAAATGCTAACTACAAACATTATTGCGTTTACTACACTTTTCATCACATTTTTATCTTCGTCCTGAAAAATTACGTAAAAATTACATACGAGGTATTTATCTCTAAAACGACAATATATGTAATTTTATGTACTTTATTTTGCCGAGAGTACAAGTTTATTCGCGAGGAAACAGATAAACAATCGTGTTTACTTTCTGTAAACTATATAGTACTACATAGAAAACATCCGCACAATTCTATAAAACGACCTGACGCCTCGCGAATTTTGAAAAATTTTGATAAACCTATTTTCCCATTCAACAGTGCAACACCCCGTTTTAATCATAATTATTGTTGTTGAATATTCACAGCAAGTTTGGAGATAATAGGTCTAAGGGATACGATTTTTCTATTCAACTTAAAAGAAGAAAATCTATACAGCTTTTTTGCATACAGCATTTAGAAGGGTAAGGGTGCTGGTGAAATTACAGGCACATGGGACTTGTCAACTTATGTCTCTGGGTGACGGGTGCAGTGGCTGTGCCCCTCAGATCTTTGTGATTTAAAGATCTGAGTGGAGAAATGTATATATGTGTGGCCTACATTTATTTCTCTCGTGAGTTTAGATGTAATTTATGGTTATCTATGTGTGTGTCCATGGCACCATCAATACAGGTCATTTTACCTGAAGCAAGGCTATGATAGATAGATAAATAATTCGTTTATTTGCTGAATCACATTACAAAATGTTTATGACATAGGTACAATGGTAATCATAATTAAGAAGGTTAGTCTAAGTTAGTCAGTATGATCTGGAGTGTTATATTGTGTTGGGTGTAGAGTTGAGTGTACGGTGTCAGCAAAAAGGGCCTGATTCAGCATTAGGCCGCTGTTCAGTCGAACTACGACGCTGATGATTCTGCCAGGTCCTAATATTGCTATAATTATTATTCTTAATAATTTATGTATATATATCATCATCATCATCACCATCACCATCATCATCATCATTATCATCATCATCATCATTAACCAGTTTTTACGTCCCACTGCTGTCTCGTCGCAGGCAAGGATTTAAACCATAGTTTCCCAAAGTGGTCCTTGCCCAGTGGGCGCTGAAGAGTCCAGAGGGATGGTAGAGGTTTGTTAGATTTGCTAAAAAAAACCTGAATTATCTATATAAACTACACAGTTTTTTTTTCCTTGTGATTTTTTATGTTAAGTTAATATAAAAAAAATATGTGTTTTGAATTGTTTTTTATCTTGCCTTAGTGGGCGGTGAACCAAAAAGTTTGGGGACCTATGTTCAGGCCATACTCCGCCATTCTGGGCCACTGGCTGCTGCTGGGTTGGGGATTATAAAATTATTAAGTATATGTATTGATTTTGGCTTTACTGCTACAGGAATATAGTCGATTCGAAATCGAGAGCTTATTGTATAATACGAATGAATTTATTTTAATTGATCTTTGAAAAAATCTGAATAGTAGTAACTTAAAGCAATATTTACTGCGTGGAGGATTGTGCAAGCGAGATTGATTAAGTCGTTTAGGGCTACGGATAATCTTTACGAAAAAAACAACAAAAAGGTCATATTTGTCTAAATGTCAGAATAAAAACAAACATTTAATAGAGGTTCTATTTATTACCCTCTATAGTTGAAGGACGATGTTAGGAATGTCTTGAGTTGATAAAGATCTCTACTGCTGATATATAAGATCCGTAACAATATCATAACTTTGATTTGTAGATACCAAAATTAAAATTATTCTTTTATCCATAAACTTTGAAAATATAGGTACATTGATTAAATGCCGTGAGAATAAGCAAGAAATATTTATTCATGTTATTACACTTGGGCAATATTTAAATTAGTTGTTTAGTCACCTCCATGTCACCTCTAATAAAACTGATTAAAGATGAAACTTGAAGTGCAGTATCTCAACTTAGACGAATATCGTTTACGATGTATTATATAATACGCTTAATGTTGTACTATGGTTATAGCAAAATGGTACAATACCAATTAAACCTAGGGCATAAGTCTTAGTTGCGGCACTTATCGAAACATTTCATAGAACAATTTGATATTTACTAAATTAATAAGCAAAAATGGTTTAGTTAGTTTCGTAAAACCTATTGTAAGATATAAGGTCTAGAGAGTAGGTGTAGCTAGCGGGTTTAATATCAAGTGATTGCCCAAGGCGATAAACACACATGCGAGTTAACGCAGTGGTTATATTGGGTTGCGACAAAAGTCTGTATCTGTCTGTGGATGGACCTGTCGCTTACACCGGGCGTACAACTTGTTCGTCTCGTCACATGGTATTATAAAAAAACTGTAGTCTGTCAAAGGATAAATGAAAAAAAAAATCTTTATCAGTTGTATACATATTGATTTTATCAGTTGTATTGATCATATTGATAAACAATATTTTGCCAAAAAATCTTGATTTTATATGTAAAATACAGCTCTAAGTTTTTATTCGTCTAATAGAAGGTTTCTAGAGTTTTGTAAAGACCGAAATAAGTGAAAATCTGGAGGGGCTATGTCAGGCAAATACGATTTGACCTAACTACAGTAGTTTTTGACGGCATTGTAAAAATGCGTTTGGTTTGGCATTATCATCACCAACTCCGGGCGTTTTTTTAGAAATTATAAACTTAAAACAATTCCGTCTAGCCTTAAAACGCGCGCTAAAATATTATTTTGAAAAGAACCATAGCAATTTATAAATTTAAAAAAGTTTTTTTTTTTTTTAATTTACGTAGTGTCAAAAACTGCACCGATTTAACGGTCTGCCTAATATATATATGTGTAAGGGAAGATAATGTTAATATGTATTCGTAAAACACATTTAGATATTTACAAATATTTATTGACCATGAAAAGTCAGATGAAATCGGTGACATAGAAGAATAAAATGCAGGATTATTTCCAGCCATATCTATGTCATATGTGATTGATACAGATGTAAAAGATTTCATTATGATTATTGAGATGAAAAAGATGTTACAATTTCGTATTGGCAGTTGCTCTTTTTTCGGCTTTGATGGATTAAGGATCGGGGTAATGGAGTGAGCAGTTGAGCTTAATTGCCACAAAAGTTACGCGGTTCATGTTTGTATTTTTGTTCGTGTGTTATGTGTAAGAAAAAACGATACGGGCAGACAGCAGCGATCAATGGCATGTGTATGATGAATCGACATGTTTTCGTTCGGACATTACAAAATTATCCAGTCATTTACCGCTGCGGCGAGTAGTATGTTTGTGTGTATTTCGCCTAAGGGCGTGTACTTTGCAGACGATTAGTAATTAAAGCTTACGGTGTATTATGTTTTAATTTATGATATTGTTCTCACGTGTCTATTACAAGAATGATTCAGAGATGTTCAAGAGATTCCTATCATATTTCATTTAGGACTGCAATGCTATTTGTCGACTGTGCGCGACGTAGAGCTACGTTAGTAAAAGCCGTTTCACGTGTGCTTTCGGCTACTGTTGGGTAATTTTTCGAAAAATTTGAAGTTGCGGAATGTTCTTTGCTAAGAAATATTTTTTTAAGTTTTACTTAGTGTGAACTAAAAAAGAAACTTGTGATAGCTGACAGCCACTTACAGAATTAAACGAGATTCAAAATTATTTCACAATAGCGAAAAAAAAATCGTTCTCGTTCAGTAACTGCAACTTTTGACAGGTGTCAACGTCAAATGTGGAAAATTAAAGAAAAAATATTGAAAAATATCAGGAAAAGTATATAATTTGCTGAACAAAATGAGTTTTTCAAAATGAAAATTATTCCATGACCCAACACTACTTCCGGCCTTAATTAATCGATTTACTAGACTAGAATTTTATTAATAGTTTAATAGTGCTCTTTATTCAATTCATAAAAAAACAAATATTTTTTAACACGCACACACTCATAGCGCCGCCGCACTGTATAGGGAAACCATAACTTACCATTACCACAAATTACACCCAAACTCACGAGAGAAATAAATGTAGTCCATACAAATATTTCCCCCGGTACGTCTGCGTGGCAGAACAGCATGGTAATCGTTCCGTCACAGGGGCAGTTTACATAACCTACAACTGATGACCCCACGAGGCAAAACAATGTCGTCAAAGGATTGGTTAACAACTTTGCATTGGGATTATATCAATTAAAATGCTAATGTGTACTCTGCTGTACACATACACATATGAATATGATATAAATGATCATAAAATTGGTTTCCCTCACATTAATAACTACTTAGTTACTGACGGTGACCTATCGAGGACGAACGAAAAATTTTACTCGTACATAAGGGCCTGACTAATTTAATGATACAGGTGCCGTCATACATTTATGAAATTCGCACTTATGTAAATTAATTAGGATTTTATCAGTATCAAAGGTCTTGGGAAAATGGTGGAATATGAAATTGCATGTAGTTCTATTTAGACAGCTTGACGTTTTCATTGGCCGATTGCGTCTGACGATGAAATCTAGTCTTTGGAATTTGATTACTTTATTCCACACATTGACTTTATAATTATAAGTCAATGATTCTACATCTAGAATCGTTTTTATCGAACTAATATCTTCGATATGTTTATAAGAGAGGAATACAATCTCTAAAGTTAGCACTAGAATTATTTTGAAGGCCGAATTGATATCGAGGCAGTTTAACCATATTCCACCGAGGTTGTATTACCGTACACTGCTCAAATAATGCCTTAAATTGCCGATAAATTTTTCTCGGCCGTTATGTTTTTGCATACACACGTATCGACATTTAGGTGTTGCTAAATTCCAAATCGATTTCGCTCAGAAACAGTTAATTGCAAGGTCAGGATTGTCTTCTTTACTCCGTTTGTTGTAATTGAGCATGTAATTAGCATCATTAACTTTTCGAAGTATTAACACAGGTTTTACAAAAAGCCGTGGTAGTCAAATGGTTTGTCCTACCGGCTCTCATGCAAAAGGCCGTAGGTTCGCATTCGAATTTGCACTTCTTAGTTTTCAAAACTATTCGGTGAAGGAACACATCGTGATGAAACCTGCACGTCAAAGAGGTTCATAACCCTTGGAAAACGTGTGAAGTCCCCAACCCGCATAGGGCCAACATGATGGACTATGGACTATCGACTACTAAGTGGTCAACTTTAGTTACTATTTAACTTGCTAAATACTAGCTTAGCTCTACCATGATTTCGTTCGCGCATAGAATTAAGGTGTAACCTATGTGCAAATCATACTATAAACTATCTATGTACGTAATATCTATATATGTACGTATATCTATATACGTAACTTAATCCAAACGATTAAGTAATAAACATCCGACCAAACCATCTCATGTTTAGTATTTCATGGGTCATTTGAAACTTTTTTAAACATTTGATTAATCACTTTTTGTTATCTATAATAATAATAATAATAATAACAATAACGCACACACTCAACATAGCCCCGCACTAGGAAACCCTGTGTCGCGGGTGCCCTGGACACACACATAGACAACCACAAATTACACTCAAACTCACGAGAGAAATAAATCTAGGTCATACAATTATTTCTCCCGGCCCGGGAATCAAACCTGGGACCTCAGCGTGGCAGCCCAGTTCAGCCACCGAGGCAGTTATCTACTTTTAAGGATACTAAATGCATTTTTTTATAAAAAATTTGTGGATTTACATCCATTTGACAAGTTTTATTGAAATCGATTGACGGAAAATGGGTGAAATCCAATGAACCGGTTTCAGCCCCTAATTTGCCACCCTTAGAGGTGCAATATTACATTCGAATTTGCATGGGACCACTACCACCTTTCCAACAAAAAAAGAATCATCGAAATCTGTTCCCAAATGTCGAAATGATACATTTGGGAACAGATTTACTTTCTTTCACGCGTAACATACAAAAAGTATACAGCCGAATTGAGAACCTCCTCCTTTTTTGAAGTCGGTTAAAAGTAGAGTAGACGATCAACAGAATATTAGCAGATATCAATAATAAATTCGATTGTCAATGGACAAACAGCGTCATTTAATGTGCATTACAATAAAGTAACTAGTGTATGGGCTCTTAATACGATGTTGACTATATAAAATCTATTTGCAACGTCAATGAGAGATTTAGGTTGAGATAATAGGAAATCGCAGGGTCAGTATCTTCATTGTTTTTGTCACCTTTTACATCGATTCACTTGGATATAACTAACGTTAAAAGTATTTAGCTATTTAAGTGGCTAGTTCATTTTGTTAAAAAAATCAAAAACCCACACACTTCGGGTCAAATATAGCACCAAATTCGCAATTAAATGTTCACTTATAATTAAATTTACTGCACTGTAACTGTCCATGACAATTACAGTGCCACTCAGAGCTTTAAATTGCACAGATCTAAGGGGCACTGCCACTGCGTCTGTCACCCTGAGACGTAAGTTGACAAGTCCAATGTGCTTGTAATTTCACCTGAATCTATATAATAATACATTATTCTGTCACTAATTACTAAATTTTTATCTAGAAAATGCTCTGTACTATGAGACTAGAATGAATAATTTAATGGCCAGGCACATAATATGTAAATTTGGTACTATATTATATCACCAAATTCACGATCAAATGTTCAGTGATAATTAATAATAATAATAATAGCAACGCGCGCACACACTCATAGCCTTGAACTAGGGAAACCGTGTATCGCGGGTGCCATGGACACACACATAGACAACCACAAATTACATCCAAACTCACGAGATAAATAAATGTAGGCCACACCAATATTTCTCCCGACACGGGAATTGAACCTGGGGCATCTGCGTAGCATGGTAACCGTTCGACCACGGAAGCAATCTAATTAAATTGGCAAATCTGTACAATAATTAATTATTCTGTCACTTACTAAGTATTTAATTTTGACCTCGGAAACACCCTATACTATGAGACTAAAGTGAATAAATTAGTTATTAAATAATTTAGAATAGTTAGTTTTTTCTGTATCTCTCAAAGGAATAGAACCCGGAATTTTCTCATCTAGCATCCACCAAGGCTTTTTTAACACTTGCCGTCTGACTTTGTACCACATCCAGACATGCACACACATACACAAACACAAGCACACACAAACACACATACACGCGCGCACACACACACACACACACACACACAC